TGGTCACAGGTACAGTACTGTTATTGCAAGAACCAGGGAACATACATCATATTAGAAATACTAAGACGTAAAAACTGACCTCCCATAGAATGCGCAAACCACACAACTGGACGTCTTCCTATACCAGCATTTTTCAATTTGTTCAAAAGCTCTGAACTACGATATTCGATTGTCGAACTGTAAATATATTTTATAGATTTGTAAAGTACAATTGAAAATCCCACCGTTTGGGTTTCTTTATGCGGTCATCAACCAAACAATTATCTGTAATCCTAAGACTCGAATTAACTAATCCTAACGTAATCCTAACCTAATCCTATAACGTAATCCTGTAAACTGGTATAAATCGTTGGATCATAAAGCACCGTATCTTTGTGAATATGTACAAGGAATGACGTGTCTTTCACTTACACTTCCGGTTGCGAAGGACACTTGGACGTCCAGCCACTCAACTCTGTGTCGTATTCAACCAAAACAACGCGACATCTTGGAATATCAACTGGAAACCAATCCTACAGGAATAGAAGTATATTAGCCTCGAATTAGAGAGACCTCTCGGTGATTGAGAATGGTGCCGCCGTCAAAAAACCCCTGAGGAGTACAGGGGGAACTCCCATCCCCCTTCGAAGGTGGTCCTCTGTTCATCTTGCAGTTTGACAATTGACCACCCCTATACACATTATGCTTCCCTTTTTATTATCAAAAATTGCTCCTGAAAGCTTGTGCTTCCCCCAAATTTTAAATGCTCGCTACATCCCCTTGCTGACTGAAATATATCCTCCATGTATTTGCTTAAAATTACTTAAGACTCCTTTTTAAGATTTATCAATGGAAAATCCCAAATCTGATAACAGAAACTATGACAGTGCTCATGCAGTGCTCACCGGACTTCAGGGAAATGTCTTCCCTGTGAATCAAAATAAAATACAGAATCATACCCGTGGCCAACAGCCAGTCTTGTTTCGCGGCGTCTGAACAAGCGAGTCATCTGTTTCACTTCTCCAAGTTCTAAAAGGACTTCCACGAAGACCGTGAACGAATACAATATCAATCTCTGGTCTACACCTTGAAAATATCAAAAACAAACGCTTTAAAAACTCACATCGTTATCAAGACAATTGTTCAGACTCTATGCACGAAGCAATCACGTTCAAGATAACATTTTGGGACCTTACAGCGACGTACCATTTTAATCTTTCGACTGGATAAGCCACAAATATTCCATCATCGTATATTTGCTCTTTTTCGCCTTCTCTGTCCAAGTTAGCTAAAGCTCGAAGCGATTGACTTTTAACGATCAAGTCCTAAAATATGGATTTACAATTCATTGAGAGATATCCTCAAGCTTACAGCTATCTCGCATCTATCTATTTCAACGCTCCAGAGAACGGATGTTTATATTTCTTCAAGGTACAAAACTAAACCTGAAATATTTGGAAAACTTCAATCCATAACAAGTGTACCGTGCATTACCTTCGATTTTATCCATCGCCGAAGCTCCCGTAACCAGCCTATAATAGTCACAACGACAAATTGGGTAAATCCACAGTCAAAATACACGGATATCAATCCAACTTTGGCTTGATTGATTTAGCTTGTTATACGAAATACAGAAATTATTTGTGGCGTGGTAAGGCACATGCAAGGCCTTGATTTCGTTTCTCTGGCCAGCACAAGGAGACAAATGAAAGCGGATTGCGAGCTTCGGCAGACGTGATTTCCATAATTAAACAAAAGAATAAAACTGCCTACAAATAGTTTTATAATCCCTCATTCAATATTTTTGAATGAACTGTGGGTTGTAACTCACTCAGGGGCAGTTTACATGAGCCTGTTTCCCGAGATTTAGGCCTAGGTTAAACGTCGAATGCAATTCAAACAATAGGCAATGAGATGGTAATGAAGCTTAATAAGGTTTATCATCTCATTATCTATTGCTTGAATTGCATTCGACGCGACCAAAATGCGACGCATAACCTGGGCCTTTTAAGGTATTAGCATAAGTCTCGGTGAGATAAACAAACACGGGCGGAGCGTTACCTGTCTTGATGATCTTGTCTCGCGATGAAGCATCTATCGCCATATTTCCCAGGACATGCGAGACTAATCTTTCCACCTTGACGCCACCGTAGTTCAAACTCACTAAACGGAGTAATTCTAATCCACCAGCCTCGAGAATCACTGATCTATGTTCTCTTACCTTAAACAAAGCGCAAATCATACAGTCTCGAGCCAATATTGAAACAAAAACCAATAAAACTGCAAGAAAGAACAACTTGCGGTGCAAAAAATTGCGACTAAATTTGATAAAAATCTAGATCATACTTCTGAATGTTTGCGCAGTGCTTTTAGAAACAAGAGGATTTCGTCGTCAGCAGAAACTGTTTCAAGATGATCCCCATCTTCAGGATGCCAAAATATCGTCTATAGAATAAACGGAAAATACTACAGCATTTGTAATTTTGTCTATTTTCCGGAAAATCCTAGTCCACCAGTGCCGGAGTTAAAAACAATCCCAAGTTCCCAACTCAACTTGATTTTAACTTTATAATATTAGTATGGAACTATATAACAAGATGTATTCCCAAAAAAATTGTAGACATTATTGCGGACTGTGTCAAGCTGAACCTAATGTTGCTAATTCTGTATTTAATGATGCTCCATGGTTCCGAGTTTCAACGTTTTATACCTTGTACAAGTTGTGACCGGATTTCCCCCCATGAAACGCCGATTCAGTAAACCAGGCAGCGCATTGTCCTGATGTGGGCAGAGATGACAACAGCTGACGAAATGCTTCGCTCAGTTCCTTGTCGTTTTTCTGAGGCAGATCACAGTTCTTGATGCCAGGGAAACAACTTTCCTCCAGAATGGATTCCCTGGCGAGACTCGTTAAAACACTATCAGAAACTTCATCAAGTTCTGCAGCAATGTTGAAACCTTTAGAATGAAAGAAAAGCTATCTTAGAGTAGGTTGTAACCTACTGCTGTAAGCTGCAGAGAATGTATGTAATAAAGAAAGCTAGTTGAGAGCATTTTTGTTAAATTACCTTCTGGTAAGATGGCAGAGGATAAAATCTTCTGGGAAATATTTCTGATGAGAAAATGATCTGACTGAGAAAGCATCAAGATTTGTTTGGGAAACTGTGTGACAAAAAAGCCAAGCAGTTGGGTTCCTAAAGAATGAAGTATATAGTGTCATGTATATGGACTATATTGCATAGTAATGCAAAGTGTCAAATGGTGCAAGCAAAGTGTTTCATGTAAAGGATATATGAATATATATATATATATATATATATATATATATATATATATATATATATATTAATATATATATATATATATGTACATCATCGCACAGCATGGCGAGTATCTAATAAGAAAATTGACTTAAACTGCTATTATCATAAAACATGACAAAATGTATACCAACCTGTGGGAACAAGACCTTCTAACTCTTCTTTCATAGGAACCTGAACATAATTAGTGACAGCCAAGTTGAACCATTCACGCTGATTGAAAAGCAGGTGTCCAAGATATGAACCACTGGAATGAATGAAAGAATGACATAGTTAAAAGCAAATGATCAAAGCAATTCATTCATTAAATGTCAAATCAATTAACTTGCTTACCCTAATACAGTTGCCAGACCAATGCCTAGTTTACCTTTGAATAGACAAAAAATGAAATTTAAATACAGCATTGACAGGGAAAACATGTCTTATATCCAAGTAAAAGTCAAAAGGCCTTTAATTACCACTAAGCTTCAGAGGGGCTGACAAGAGTTCGATGTGTCGGATGTAAATATGACGTTGGATGTCAAATTTGATAATTTAGCAAAAGTATACATTCTAGAATACATTCTTATTTAACGATACATAATTTTTCATATAATTGCAAATTATTCTAATAAATCATATGAGATTTTGTTGGACATACATTAATTCGAGCCAGTAGAATTACCACAAAATTTTGCATATGCTTCCATCCAGTAGGAGGTAGGAACTATACCCATGCACCCATATAAACTAGTATAATATTTACCAATAACTTTCATATCTCATGCCACTAATAGCTCTAGCAACATAACACATTGCCAATGTCCTAGAATAACCAAATTAAAATAAAAAAATTAAAACAATCAAGGTCAAATTGTTATCGTTTCTGTACAGTCAGAATGGGAGCACCATTCATATTTATGTTTTATATTAAAGAACCCATGCATTTTTCTTCTATCAAACAAGATCTGATCTAGGGAATTCTACACCAATGTAGCTACATCATCAGGAAACAATTCAGTGGCTTTTAGGATGCTTTAAAAACAATTCTTAACAACACAAGCTTGAACAGTCAAAATGGCCGTTCACCTTCCGTTAACTTTAGGAATAATTTTACGCAAAATAAGTAAATAACGTCAAAACTGGCACGGATCTTGGTCAATACTTCTTGTTCTTTCATTTAACTATCCCAAATTCACATGCGTACAAAGTTTTACCTCCAGATCTTCGCTTTTCAACGTTTTAAAAAGGTTTCTGTTTACATTTTGAACTAGAAAGTAGCAAATTGATCCATTTAAATCTGCCCGCCTGCGCTGACTTTGGTCTGCGCCAGTGGACTGTAATAAAACCTGGAGCGCTATTATTTCAACGGTTGCGACAGAGGTAGAGAGTTACTATCTAGGAATGTCTAGAACTATATAAAATGGTATTTTTGACCATGGTCAAAGGTGGAAAAGGTCGAAAGGTTGCAGGTATTCGACCCTGCCGTTTAACGTATCGTAGGCCATCTCATTAACCACTAGGCCATTCGTGCTGGTGCCGAATGTCCACAGTTTTTTAGTCCACTTACTTCGGGAAGTAATCCTTTCTTCTGAGACTTTGAAATGCAATAATAACTCGGTGAAAAGGTCAAAACGACTACATCTAATCATTTATCGAAGAGCGCGTTTGAGACATTACGCAGTGAGTGATACCATGGCTGGGAAAGTGACATAAAATAAGTTGATACAAAACAAGAAAGTGTCTATAAACGCACTTTCTTTCTATATTTTCAAATATACATTTGACAATTTAAATATACTTTTAATCTATACACATTACACAGTTCTAGCTAAATTAAGGCATTGGCCCCACTTTGCTGATAAGTTCGTCACAAATTGCTGTAAGCTCTTTGTTTTCATTGATCTATAAAGGGGAAAAAGCTTTCGTTTAATTTGGTTCTTCTTAGCGAGCAACAGTCTGTGTGCAACTTACTTTTTGATCTAGAGTTTGTTGTAAAGAAGAGACCTTTGTCTTTTCGCGTTTGAATGCAGCCTGGAGACCAGCCAGTTCTGTTTTGAACGTTGTTTGAACTCGATTTATTTCAACATTTGCTCTACAATGAAGAGATGAAACATATAAAGTTTTATTCCGATAAAAAACGAAATCAGCTTAATCGTATTTGTATTTCACCCACTCCTGTAGTTTCTGCTCAGCATGGCCTTTTAAAACTTGATACTTCGCTTCGGAGTTTTTCACATCTTCCTGTAGATCCTTAACCACTTTCTTCAAGACGTCTTCGTTCTATAGACGAAGATAAATGAATTTGATAAATGACCATCATGCTGTTCAATTTGCAGACCAATTTCTGTTACTGTTGCTTATATTTTTCTCCCTTCTAAACACAATCTACCTGTAAACTAAAAAGTAGAAATGCCGTGTTTACCTTTCGATACGACTCCACGGCAGTCTTCAGTTTCCCAAACTTTTCATGAAGATGAGCGAATGATTTCTCGGTGTTGTGTAAGTCACGTTGAAGCTAGTATAAAGGGAATGTCGTATTTATACTTAAGCCAAGGATAATTCAAGTTTAGTTCACTTTTCCATCAAGCGCTTCAAAGAGAAGTTGGATATTGCATAATGAATCTCACCTGATCACGCTCGTTAACAATTTCTGAATTCGATCTTTCCTGCTGGCTTTTCTCGCTTTCTCTGTCTTCTTTAGATAAAAAGGGTTAAACATTCAGCTCATTTTTCTTAATAAACAAGGGTTCAAGATAATTTTGTGCTTTATGCGACTTACTGATCATCTGTGCCATTGTCTGTTCATATTCCATCATTAGAGTTCTGAAGATAGACAAAGCATCGTTAACTCTGATATTTGCAATGCTCCTTCTTTCGATAGATGTAATCGAGTGAAAAAGTTACGGATGTTCAAACACGAGCACTTATACACAGAGCATTCATAGCTTTTCACTCGTTTGCATCTTTCAAACGAAGAAAATCGCACGAAAAAAATATCACAAGCATATGCAAATATCCCGGCTCCAGGAACACTACTTGTCCGCAAGTAAAGTCCTTACTTCACAACTTTATTTTCGTCCAATAATTTATTTCGCTCTTCAAGAATTTCATTTCTTTCATCGAGTAATTTTTCCAGATCAGCCTCGTGGAGGCTCTTTTGTAAATTCCACTGAAAGAAAGAGAGCTTTCTAAGCGAGAGCTTGCTATAGATAGGAACGTTTCATTAACTGTATTGCAGACTGATCAAACGACAACAATATGGTTGCATAAAAATTGACGGACTCACTTGACTTAATAACTTATTCTTCTCCTCCTCGACGGCCTTATCTAAGTCTGTTTTGGAGAACTGCAACGGCTGCAAAAAAAGAGAAGGGGTTTTAAAATATTAACAAGAAATATAGACACTATGTATCTGACTATTTTCCCGCCAAAACAAAGCCAAATGAAATATGAATAGCAAGAGTTTGACTTTTGAAAAGAGTTGTTTAGACTCTCCCTTGAGTATTTAGGAAATTCTCATTCAAACTTTTGGTGCCAAGTCATATTAATTCTCACGAATCACGACCTCAACATCAATTAGTTCATGTCAAAATATCCAATCTTTCAAATTTCTTGCACAATGGCGATCAACTCACTATGCTAACAGGTCGTTTATTGCACTCGTTTGCCATCTTCTTTTGCTTCTTTGTCGCGTTCAAACAAAACAACCAAGTAAAAAACTCGTACATTATCAACTTATAAAGGTACACGGCCAATCGTTTACGGTTGACACAATATGAAATATCGTGTAATCCTGTATTAATTATACCCGGATCGAGACCGCCATTGATCAGACAAACGTGAAAAGATGACAGCAAAACAATGAAATCCATGAAGACCTGCAGCCACCATAAATGAAAACATGACAGGCTTTTTAATCGATCGTAAACAAAGTAGACTTATAGTTTTCCGCATATAATGAAATTGCTCCCCTTGGGCTCAAGGCGAGTAAAATTTAAACCAAGATATTCTTGTTAACAGGTTCTACTGAACACGGTTGAAACTCTACCTGAACAAGTGGCGATTCTTCTTTAGCAGGTAAAGTGCTATCCACGGATTTCGAGGCTTCTTCCTCCTCCGGTTGTTTTTCTGCTGCGGGAATCTGAGAAATCGTAAAACGATACGTTTGAAATAAATTAATATAATCACAACGAGCTATGACGGGTCTTTTAAACGTCTTTGGCAAAGCTCCGTGAAAGTTTGAAAAAGAGGACAGTGGACTGGATTTAAACGAGACGAATTGGCAAAGCAAATGGAAATACATACAATAAAATCTCGAATTTACACATGCTCAAAGTTGATGTTTCTACTTTTTTAAAGATTTAATTTATTTTAGGGACTTCATTTTGAAGTATAGCGAACGAAAATTGTGTTAAATGTTTTGACAATACAAGATATTTTAGGAAACTATCAGTTCAAAATGTAAACAAAACGTTTGTTTACATTAGAGACTGTTGACACAAGTTTTGAACGGCACTTAGTGATATAATGACGTCTCACAAGTGCATACAAGCATTGAACGTGGATCAAACGACTGCACTTACATCTTTGCTTGGCGATATTTCTAATAAATCAACAGGCTGGACCGCTGCTATTGCCGTGCTCTCCCCAGTCTCCGCTTTCTCCGTTTGGGCGAGCAAGGCGCGACGGGATATCACAGGTTTCTCAGGCGGGGTGTCCATACATAACAGGTCGTCGTTAGCACTAGTAACGAAAAAATGAAAAAATGTGAGTTCTGTCATATTCTGCCAAAGTCCTCAGCAGATTTTCACCTAGGTCGTTTCAAAAACAAAATATCAAAGTTGTCGATAGCTTGTGGCCTACTTGTAACGAGTTTCACGAGTTTAAAACGATTTTCTACGCCGCTTAATTTACTTACATAGAGCCTTTGAAAAGCAAGTCTGCAGGATTTATGTTTGCAAGAGCACCGGGTTCTGTGAAAGTAAAATGAGAATAACTTCGCGAATATACAATATCATAATTTCTCGGTCAATATTCACAACACAGAAACATTTACAAACCTTGTTCCGTTTCTTTCGGTTTTCTGGCCTCTACGAGTGGATCAAATTTCACATATAACGATTGCCTTGCCAAATCGCTCTACACACAATAGTAAATAACAATTAGGCTAAAAGCACTGTGCCAGTCAACCATTTTGTATCGGAGAATCGATTTGTTGTACATTTCATGATTTCAAAAGATAGATTCTCAGATAGAGATGTAAACAGATACTAGTGTTAAACCTATAGTGACAGCCCTTAGCGATTTCAACTTGAGCAAATGTTTAACTATTTTGAACGTCACAAGTCTACGAGTGTTTGCCCTAGCAAGAGCGGTCAAAACGTTTACGTACACTATAGATAGATAGATAGAAGACTTTATACACTGTTATAAACACTGTTATAAACAGTTTTATCTAAGTCATTCTAGTTCTGTAAACATTGCAGATCCCTGACCTTTTCTTTCCAGCAAAATTAACGAAGAAACGACAAAAATTTGCCGTTAAGATTAAACGGCTGTTGATTCATTTGCCCAGAAACTTCCTCCAAATGGTAAACATTACTTACATTGAGTTAAATGACTTTAGAATAAACACTTCGCTTCGGAAAATCCTCACTTTTGTTAATACGTTATACACACGGCGTTGAAATCAAATGAATCGTGTGGAGTTTGCAACACGAATATACACGGATGTCAAATTATTTCATAAGACATTATGCAAAGTCAGTTAAAATCTTCGAAACAATACATTATTTATAAGAAGACGACCACAATAAATGTCAACGAGCGGGGAAATCGGAAATGAATATCCGATAGATATTTGATTACAATGAAACTATATTATAGAAAGCATGCTTTTACTTTTTATATCATCGCAAGTATTTCATAATATTCACTGCACCAAGGGAGAAATGATTTCACCTTTCGTACAACGCGAAGGAAAGATTGTATGTATGAAGTACAGTTGCGAAACAGAACGGCTATAATTGACTTTAGATTTTCCAAGAGTAGTACAGAAATACGTCGTCTAAGACAACTAAATATTGTTTTAATTTACTCACTTCGTGATCTGCGCCAGTCGTTCCAATGTTTTCAAGGAAGTCTAACTCGAGACCAAACTCTGTATAAAACATCAAAGTTCACAGAATCAAGACAAGCGACAACGGTATTTACAGAGAGATATCACAGATCAACATTTATACGATAGTTTTTCAATATTTAATTTCGAAATCTCAAATATCTAGCTTTCACAACAAAAACGTTCAATTTTGCATAATGTCGTCGTTATTCAGCACCGGGCAATGATAGCCTTAGGTCGCTTATATGCGAAGTTCGGTTAACGAGGAGATATAGATTCTTCAAAGAGCATACTGGCAAACTAATGTAAGTTATAAAATCATGTTCAAAGTTACATATTAAAGACTTATACTAGAGTCTAGATTGTTCACAAGCGAAAGAAGAGTGTTTGTTAAGTACAAGGTCAAAGAGAATACCTGCAGCTGGCTTGAAAGAGCTTTCATCAAACTCAAAATTTGCATAATCATCTTCTGACTGTGTTGTGAGTGCTGAACTCGCTTGTTCATCTGGAGTTACTTCTTTGACCGTTTCATCTAAATCTAAAATCGTTCACAGTAGGAATGAAAGAAACTCCGAATATACATAACATGTCGCCTGGTCATGGCTTTTAAAAATCACAGCTATACAGCTATTTATTATCTTATATTAAATATATACCTTCAAGACTGATGTCTTCTGATATCGTATTTTCCAAACACGACTCGTCGTTTGCCGAAATTTCCTTAACCGTCGTGTCTAAATCTGAAATTGAGAACAAATTTACGGTGGCTGTTGACTGTCAATATTTCTACTTGACGGTGTACCAGGTTTTTTTAATAAGTTATCAGACCACTGACAGGCAAAATCATCTATGCGTATCGTATCGTATCGTATCGTATGGATATCGTATTATATCGTATCGTATCGTATGGATATCGTATTATATCGCATCGTATCGTATGGATATCGTATCATATCGTATCGTATCGTATCCTATCGTATCGTATGGATATCGTATTATATCGTATCGTATCGTATGGATATCGTATTATATCGTATCGTATGGATATCGTATCATATCGTATCGTATCGTATCCTATCGTATCGTATGGATATCGTATCGTATCGTATCGATATCGTATAGTATGGATATCGTATCGTATCGTATGGGTATCGTATCATATCATATCATATCATATCATACCGTATCGTATCATATCATATCATATAATATCATACCGTGTCGTATCGTATCGTATGGATATCGTATCATATCGTGTCGTGTCGTGTAGTATCGTATGGATATCGTATCGTATCGTATGGATATCTAAAGAGTTGAACACTAAAATAGCCATATACTTTCAAACGAAACAAGTCAAGTGTACCTGAACATGAGTGTATAAAATCATTATCTTCTTGACCATGACTTTGTATGACTGGTTCATCTGACGATGGGACTTCTTCGTTATCTACATAATAAAAACATAATTTCAATTAAATGATCTTCCTAAGATTCATTTTCAACAAGACCAGGTGGATAAAAAATCATACTTTGAACAACATCTTTCATGTCTATGGCAACATTTCCCTGTCTCTCATCGCACACAAAATCACCTCCATTTTGGATTTCTTCAATTTTTTCAGAAATTTTCATACCATCAAAGCCATTGGTCAAATCATCTTTCAATAGATTCACCTCGACTACAGTATTGTCGCATTCAGCAGTACTGTCATCCATACTTAAGAAAAAAATTTAAAACAAGTAAATCTTGTGTAGGGTGCAATGCTAACGACATGATTAAATCTGCAACAAAAAGCACAAGAAACGCTTAAAAATGTTTCACTCTTTCAGGAAAACCGCTTATCGCAAAAGTAGTTAAAGTATTCACCTCGCAATTGGAAGATTCTCAATGATATCATTAACAACTTCCTGCCAAATAAATTAAAAGATTTAATTTAGAAATCACGGGAGCCATGGGGGTCATGCAGCATGATTAAATAAAGTGTACCTATACCTTTGACATATTGACTGTCAATTGGATTCAGGTATAATTGCTGTCATAGAAGTTATAGTTAGTTATAAACGCGTGAATAAAACTATATTTCCTGGCCAATGCGTTCAATTGTATACTAAAGGATTGCAATTTACTTAAAGCAGACTATAATGCGATTTCATTTTATAACAATGGCAGTACCTTGGCAATTTCAATGTTGAAAAGATGATCTTCTTTAGTGACGACTTGCGTTCGTTCTATCCAAAGTTCGTCTTCATCCAACCTACGGATTTCTTCCCAATCTGGGAGATCTTCTGGCAAAAGATCCGGTGTTTTCTCCACTGGAGTGCTTAGAAATAAACCAGCCTAAAATATACAATAACTTTGTTAAATGTTTTTGCTCTCAATAGCTGTTGAATATACGAGTATCATTATAGATCTTCAACACTAACATTTGCTCAGGCTTTGCAGAAAGAACTGCCTGAATGACATACAGCCATGCATCCAAAAACTTATTATATACATTTTGTTTTTATTACATTTCGCTAAAGCGCTGGTGAGTCGGGATTTTTTTTCACATATAAACACACTACTTGCTTTGCAATTGTAAAGGAAGACGTGCTTTATCAAGACATAGAACAGTTCAACATAACGAGCAAGTGTACCGACATATCTTTCATTAATCCATGACTTTGTGTGCTAGCTTGTGTACATATGTACTACGTAGAAACATGGCTCAACCACTTTTTAGAAACAACATTGTTTAAATCGTCCTTCAACGGCCATCGATACATTTGACGTATTCGCTTGTGGTTAGGGGGGGGGGGAGATGGTTGCTAAGCAGTTTATTCATAGTTGACCTTGATTGATTGCACCATATCGTTTCTTTAATTAAAAAATATTCATTGAAAAACACTTAGAAATCTTGAGTCAAAAATAGCCATTGCCGTAATAGCCTTTTGTCATTCGTCTCGACCAGTATACGTTTAGGAGTTTCCCGACCAAAAATATTTTATTTGAGGCATTGGTGGCAGCGGTTTGAGGCCAGCTTGAGCAAAATTGATGCAGGTAATTAAAAATCACTAAATGTAGGTAAAAATATACCAGGAACAGATCCATCGTTTTTAAACCAACACAATTTAATCGCCAGACTCTCAATAACATTAATTAGAACTGCAGTAATAGCAATGTTAAATAACACTATTCAATGACAAGGCAGTGACCACATAGTGATAGAAAAAAAACGTCTCGTCATCTACAAACATGGCTACACTACAGCTTCAGCAGGGCCATTATGTTTAACTTTAATTAACACACGTCTTGGAAACGAGTTACAACTTGATCCACACACAACAAATTATTTACACAAAGCAAACTCGATTCAGATACAATAATAATTTAAGAAATGAACTCCAAAAAACCACCCAAAAAGTCCCATAGATTGTTATTGTTATTGTAACGCAAAATATTTGGATGATTAAGAGCTCTGCGGGTGAAAAATATGAGCGTGCAATAATTTGCCGTTCTAAGCATTGGGAATTTCCCTCCTATTATTATATATATGTTTGTGCGCATATAAAAGACCGGCCCGATCTTCCTATTTGATCATAATATTTGCCCGTCTCAGTGTCAATTGCTAAACGAGAGAAGAAAGAAAAACTTTACCAGTGTTCGATAAGTTGAAGAAATGTTCGCTCTGAAATTGGGGACGCCTGTATTGCCATTGGTAGCATATTCTCTGCTCATAATACAACTCCCTTGGACAACTGCTGGTTCGATAAGAAATGAAACTCAACCAACATCAGTTACACCACTGTCAACGAATCAAGTCACTCATCAGAGCAGTTCAAACAGAACCAAAAATACGACAAGCCAAGATCGAAATCATACTGTATGCAGAGCGTCGATAAAAAACGAAGATTCAATCAAGTTCCTGGAGTTGACGAAACACAGCCTGGTAAACATCATTGACGTTCATTTCGTGTACCACACTAATTACACCAAATATACCAAGTCTATCATTTGGGTAAACAGCGTTGGTCGGGAAATATTATTACTACTCGATATGATTCGCCCACACTTTTCATCAACCCTGACAGTTGGTAGACGGAGTATAACGATTCATACCTCAAAACGACCAAAATTGTGTGTTTTCTACGATAAACGAAAACTGAAATATACAGATAACGGACGCCTAATGAGATTTTATGGCGGAATAATACAACCGAACGAAGAACTCTGTTACACTTTCATTTTAAACGAATTGAGACCACGATGGTGTTGCAAGACTGTAAGAACTGGGATGAAAACAAACAAACAGCAGTGTGATGTAAGCATCGGTCCGCCATTAGGCGTACCCTTCACGCTTGAATCGCTATATCTATTTCTTTTTCTTCTTTCGTTATTGACAATGAATGCCTTTCACCTTTATTACCTATATCTTGAACGATTTCCATGCCATAAAGATTATTACAAGCTAACAGACAACCCAATGTCTTTATTTGACATTGTCAAAAAAATCGTCTGCATAGAAGACATAACCAAGACGTCTTTCCTGATTAGATTTCTCCTCACATCAACAGTTCTAATAATTTTAGTCGCAACGCTACCTTTGTTATTCTGGGTACTTTCCTGCCTGTGGTTCCCAATGTGCACGCATTCCAAACTCGACAAGAAAGTAGAAGCTACGGAAAGTTTATTCAACAGCCTTTTAAAAAAGTATGAACAGGTTTTCGTGATAAATATCCCTGATGAGCACAAGTCCGAAAGAGAGGTTTTCGTGAAAAATATCCCTGATAAGGACAAGTTCGAAAGAGCGGTCTTTCTTCTTACTTTGCTTTTCAATCCGAAACTCTGGAAAGAGATGAAAAAGATGACTTCCAACATTTACAAAAAAATATCAAATTACATCACTCCGTATATTGGGAACATTGGTGCTTCCATCGTAAGCATAATCTTTCTTTTCTTCTACGCCGTTTTCTTCATCGTTTTAACAACAATTGTTATGTGCATAAATGTTTTTTATAACGCTGTGATAATCACAGCTTCCTTTAGTGTCATGCTATTGCCGGTAGTAATGTTCGACCTCCATAATGCTATCTATTACACTATTCTATGTATTCACACGTTGTCTAACATATTCGTCTTCGGTTGGTTGTGGTTTCTTGTTCCAATGTTCATACTACCCCTAGTTTCAGGAATAATCCTCAATTCTGTTTATTTTCTGCCCTATGTCACATTCGTCTCAGTCGTAGGTTTCTACACATGGCGTTCTTGGAAATCTCTCCAAGAAGAGTTTTTTTCATTAAAATGGATAATTTATGAAGTATTACAAGACAGACAGAGCAGCACTAGAAATTTATTTCATAATGAAGATGATAAAAGTATTTTACACGTTGTTTCGAAAGGCCTTTATTATAAGATAAGAGAAAAACTGCTACCATATCAAACTATATTTTTGGTTTTTGTTGTAAAATGTGCACTTATTGTTGTCTTCGCGTTTGGTGTCTTTGAGCTGGTTAAGATATTACAAGCTGCTGACGCTTCGCCTACTATTATGGTCATTGCTTCAATGACAACCGGTGCATTGCCTCATATTTTGAATATCGTGATGGCCACAGTTAGTGGCAACGAGAAAAAGGCACATGATAAAACCCTACGAACAGATGTCGAACGTTTGGTGAATGAACTGACGAAAGACAATTCAGAAGAATCAATATCGTACTTGAGAACAACCATAACAATACCAAGAATTAAACCAAATGGGGACATTGAATCACAACCAGTAAATGGCAATGATGTAGATAATCAAGAAAGTTTGTTGCAGCCTAGGTCTAACTGATCAAGGATTTGTTTTATATTAATCGTAATATTTCTAGACATGCATTTAAAGTATACTTAACCTTTGCACAATTACTCTGGATTCCTTTTTGAGATCTCTGTTAATCCACACCAATCCAATTCATATCCTTAGCTAATTGCTAATCCATGATCTTAATCCTTAATACTAGTAATGAGTAGGCACATGTCGTTAATTTGCACAAAGATAAAAGAACAGAAAGTTGGACAGTCAGGCAATAACTATGTGCATGTGTACGTATGAATAAAATATGTATGGGATTTATGTATAACCAAAAGCTTTGCAGCAAAAATATGTTGGTGATGTACCTTTTAATAATTACGCTTATATTATACACTGTAATAATATACTGTATACTTAATATACTAATAATACGCATATACTGTAATAATAACTATCACCTTATCACTCATAAACCAGCAATAAATCTTAAATACAATTGTTCAATAGTATTGCATTTTAACTTGCTGATGCCAATTGATAGGAATTCAATGACAAAAAGTCACCCTTATGGTACTAATGGTATTTCAATTGGCTGGATTTCCACTTGCAGAGAAATGGTTTACTAGCAAAATATTACCATATTTTCTTTTGAATTTTAAAATAACTAGATTTGTTCCACTGGACTGTTCTCATGCGAATTAACGTGTGGTTCACTGGTTAAATTTTCATCCATTTGTGAACACCTGATCCAGACAAATTCAAACACACTCGACTGGCCCAGTTTTAATTTAGCCAAACCTTTTACAGATGAAACATTTTGCAAGAAATTAAGGGTGGTTATCATGTACATCAATACACCCAATTGTGGTCCAAAATTTGTGAGAAACATCAATGTAATATATTCTGAAAATCATCCAAAATTTGGAGCCTGAAACCTGATCAGTTCATGATTATCTACGACGTGGTCTGTATTATTTAACCCCAGTGATATTCAGTCAAACTGCATATTCCAATATGGGCCCAGGGATGAAATAGCAACCAGATAGCTAATTATTACTATCAATCGCGTCTTATGATCCCAAAAAAACCCCAGCCAAAGTTTATGCAACATGGCGCATTATTCTATATTTATTTATCAAAATTGTAAAGTGCTAGTAATTTGCATGCAATGTAACTGTTTGAATATAATATGTTAAGTTCCTAAAATATATAAATCAATTATCATTAAACTTTTCTATGATTGTTGTTCTATCTCGTATTAATATGAAATGAATCATTCAGTTAAAGGTAGGTCGTAATACTATAATTCTTGCGAAGATCTCTGCCGTTCACTGCCAATTCTTCGGTCTTTTCAACGTCCCCATTTAATCTCACTTCTGATATTATTAACGTTGTTGTTAAGTAGGCCATTGATAATTTCGAGTCATTCTTTGTGAATTTTTCAACTAAACATTCAACGTTTGCCCTCATAGTTTTATTATGTGCTTTTCTTTCGTCATCGCTATCTGTGGCCATCACCATATTCAAAATATGTGGCAATGCACCTGTCGTCAACATGGCAATGACCAAAACACTAGGTGAAGCGTCAACAGCTTGCAATATTCTGACCAGTTCAATGACACCAAACGCGAAGACAATGATAAGGGCAAATTTTACACTAAATATAAAAAACTTGGTATGATATGGAAGAAGTCTCATTCTTATTTTACGGTAGAGCTTCTTTGAAACAACATGTACAATTCTTTCATAGTCTTTAACATCGTCCAGATTTATATTGCTGCTCTGTTTCTCTTGTAATACTTCGTAAATGATCATTTTTAAAGAGAAATACTCTCCCTTCAGAGATTTCCAAGAACGCCATGTGTAGAAACCTACCACTGAGAAAAAGGCGACGTAGGGCAGGAAATAAACAGAATTGAGGATTATTCCTGAAACTAGGGGTAATATGACAAACGGGACTAGAAACCACAACAATCCTGAGAAAATTACAGAAAATAACGTGGAAAAGAGTAATAAAGAGTAATAGAGGCACGGATAATTCACAAAAGAAGATAGTGAAATATTAAACGACGCTGTGAGCATCAGCACGTTGTAAACAACATCTATGCACACAATAACGGCTGTAAACACAATAAAAAAGACGATATACAGAAAAAAAATGAAATAGAACAGAGAAACTAATACACAGATGCCTATATTCGAGGTTACGTCCATGGTCGATACATGGTTTACCAAGTTGAGAAATATTTTACACCAGAGTTTTACATTGATTGGCAAAGTCAGAATTTGAACAGCTCTTTGAAACTCGTTTTCATTACTGATATCTAAACCAAATACCTGTTCATATTTTCGTATCAGCCAGTCGAAAAACCGCTTCCCAATTAATATTTTATCCGAGGATTTGGAAAGTTTACCCACCGGCAACCAGATACAAACAAGCGCTAACAGGAAAAGCAAAGGTTGCAAAAAAAAAAGGAAAAAAAGGGAGAGATATGTCAGAACAGATTTATACCCTAAGGACTTCAAAATGGCGCCTTCTCTCCAGGAAAGTTTCATGACCATGTTCGTTAAAGATATCGGGCTATCTGTAAGCTTATAATAATCCTTATTACCCGGGAATTGCTGAAGAAATAAGTAGTAAAGATAGAGGCCATTTAGTGTCAATAACGAAAGGAAAACAAAGCTTGCTAGTAGCAATTCAAAAGTCATGTATACACCAAATGGTGGTCCAAGGCTCAGATAACACTCATATTCTTCCTTGTTAACGCCAGTTCTGGTAACTTTGCAACACTGTCGGGTTTTTTTTGCGTTTGGACGCAAAGTAAAACAGAGTTCTTCGCTTGGTTTTATCTTTAGGCCAAAAATATTCAGTAGCTTCGTTTCAACTTGATAATTCTGTTCTGTATTATTAAACCAAACACACTCCTTTGGTTGAGTTTCGACGTGTATTTTCATATTTCGTCTACCGACGTTCAAAGTTGTTGAGAAGCTGTCTATATCGAGTAACAGTAATAGTTTCCCTCCAACACGGTTGACCCAAATCATTGATCTTGTGTATTTTGTGTGATTATCTTCAACCACGAAATGCAGATCAACAATGTTTACCAGGCTATGTTCAGTCAGCGTTAAAAACTTCTTCCAATCTTCCTCTTTTATCGACATCTTACATTCAGTCTCGTTCAAATTTGACCTCGTCACAATCGTAGTTTCGTTGCTAATGTTACGCGGGAGATGAATTGTTGGTTGGCTTTCATTTGTCGACCGAGCAGTTGGTTGGCTTTCCTTTGTCGACCGAGCAGTTGGTTGGCTGTTATTTGTCGACCGAGCAGTTGGTTGGCTTTCCTTTGTCGACCGAGCAGTTGGTTGGCTTTCCTTTGTCGACCGAGCAGTTGGTTGGCTGTTATTTGTCGACCGAGCAGTTGGTTGGCTTTCATTTGTCGACCGAGCAGTTGTCCGATGCATCAAGAGCAGAGAATATGCGACGAACGTTAGCGTGGACAAACTCACAACGAACATATCTTGTATGGAAAGATATCAAAAGCTGGGTGATAATATATCTCGACTATCAATTGCAAAGTGAACAAATTCAACGGCGAAGGCAGTCGTGATGATGTTACACCATATTCATGCTAACCATGCCGTACCACTTATTCTTCTTTTATTAACGGTAATACGTTCCGCATAGTTGGTTATGTTAATTCTTTCAAGTAGAATACAAAGTCACGAGTTGTGAATTGTGTATGAACTTTTATCGTTGAATACATATTAAATCCCAAATTCCCAGCCCTTTTTATGACTCAATTCTAACAATTCTAACAACTAATTTAGAGACTTGTCTAGAATGTGATTCAGTTCTACTTCTAGAATTTGATGACTGATGAATCTGCACAACAACAATATAATCAATTACATCCTTCCGGACACATTGTCTCAGATTTGGTGCATCTTATTGTAGTAGTTTTAGAGTAAGTTTTCGTTCAAGCTAACTCTTTGCCATGTTCATTTCCTTTCCGAAAGTAACCTTGTTTTAAAGCTAGTTCAAATGCGAGCTTTTCCGCACAAGTTTGCTTGTGTGTACGACCGTCATTTGCTCGTGTGTACGACCGTCATTTGCTTGTGTGTACGACCGTCATTTGCTTGTGTGTACGACCGTCATTTGCTTGTGTGTACGACCGTCATTTGCTCGTGTGTACGGCCGTTAAACGACTTAACATGACGGAATTGTTTGTGAAATTAAAACATGCAAGTAGACACTTTTCAAGAAAAAATGTCAGTTTCTTCATGTTAAACACGAGCAAATAAAACTTCATGAAGGGAACATGTTGATGAAAACTTCAAAACTCCCCCAAAAACTTATCTCTGCCTCATATTATTATATTATTACTACAACTATTTTTTAGTATTATTAAAAAATCTATGAGATCAAAAAATCATGAATAAAAATTTTAGTATTAGTGACAAGTATAATCTCTTTTAAAGAATAAAACTTGCTCGCAATGCATCCTAATGTGCGCACTAACAGCACTATAGTATTTTAGTATTTGTTATTTACTTTGTATGATATCTAGAGGATCCAGGATCGGGATCACTCAATTTTTATCCATTTTCCCCTTATGAAACCTGAACCGGACAAATTCAAGCACATTCATAAATTTGACAGGCCCAGTGTGAATTTAGCCAAATTTTTTACAGATGATGAAACATTTTACAAGAAATTAAGGGTGGTTATCATGTACTTCAATACACCCAATTGTGGTGCAAAAATTTGCAAGAAACACAAATGTAATATTCTGAAAATCTGTGAGAAACACAAATGTAATATTCTGAAGATCATGCAACATTTGGAGCCTGAAACCTGATCAGTTGATGATTCTCTATGACGTGGTCTATATTATTTAACCCCAGTGATATTCAGTCAAACAGGATATTCCAATATGGGCCCAGGCATGAATAGCAACCAGATAGTTAATTAATACTTTCAATTGTGTCTTATGATCTCAAAAAAATCCCCAGCCATATGGCATTACTCTATATTCATTTATCAAAATTGTAAAATACTAATAGTTTATATGCAATGTAACTGTTTCAATATAATATGTTAAGTACTTAAAAAATATAAAATATAAACTTGTACTGTACGAGCAATTCGACTCTTTCATTCAATAGTACAACAACTTTAAAAATATATCCTACACAAACTACCACAGGCGAAGAAGCATAAAAAATAGTAAAATCTCACCATGAAACTGATAAAACTGGTATAGAACTTGGCCAACACAGCGCCCATAATCGCTCTATTACACCGGATATAGCCCGTGTGAAAATGGACAAACAGCTTCAAGTTTGGACAAAACTTTTCAATATCGTATCGAAGCAGATCGGTATAGATTATCCGACCATGTATAGTCTTGCTTACCTTAGACGATCTGTGAGCTTCTGGCGATCGCAGACTGTTGTCTTGGAGTACGAGATTTCGCTCAGACAACGGCGAATATACCAACTTTTCTGTCGTCTTTTGACAAAGTTCGCAGCCACTTGGCGAAATCGGCGAACAATTGAGTGCGTCAAACAAATTCTCCTTGCCAATCGTGGGCAATTTTTCCATACTAAACAAAAGAACGTGTTTAATTTCACCTGTTTTAAAAGCTTTTCGGCGCTAACAACCCAGCGATCTCATTTAAAAGATAAAAGAATTTTTGAATCTTACCAGAAAAAATTCTTCAACCGTCGTTCTTGTTGTCGATTCCAGACTTCCGTCCGCCCGTGCTTCCAATCTCTCGCTCAAAGACTCTTTGAGAAATTTCAAATTCATATCCTCGAAGAATTCCCTTCTTTTAAGACAGCAAAATCGAGTTTATATGATTTAAAAGATATTAGATTTAAAAGAGTTTATATTTCTATACAAATTTACGTCCATTTGCGTCCTCAATATGCAAAATACGAATGAAAATTATACAAGTAATTAACATGAATTTTAAAATGTTAAACTAATCATGTAAAACTATTTCTTCTGTCTCACAACCATTAGGGACTCCTACTATAGAATTTCGCCCTTTTAACACTATAAATTCAGATTAAAAGCAAATTTGGTCTGAAAAGAAAAAAGACATTTGGGTTTGTCTTTTGAAAGATATTTTCATTTGAATGTAAATTAGTTGGCAAGTGGAAACAAGGGGATTTCCCTCGACGTGTTTTCCTTTCAATAACGAAAATACAAAAATCAACTAAAAACGAGTTTGTCTTTTCTTTCTCAATTTTTTTCGATATTTCTTTGCTTTCTATGGAAAAATATGGCCAAACCAACGGGAGAATTACTTGCTAAGCTTCGCTCGGCCATGAAGAACAAGGCATACGTGCCAGACTTGCTTCAAGCTTATATTATACCAAGTGAAGACGCTCATCAGGTAACAATGGACCCCGTATCTTCTTCGAAATCCGTTCAATCGTGGAGGGTTTGTTAGTAACTGCGGATTTTGGTTATTCTGTGGCGATGTCCTAACAATTACGAGCAAGAAAAGGCTATTTTATTAGCCTAGGACCTGGCAGTTTTAGGATATATAATTCTGAGGATTTTGAAATTATATTCCATCAAATAACTCGGCATAAAACAAGCAATCGATTAGTTTCACTGATACAAAACAGATGAGTAATAAATACCTGTACATAGAGCATATTTAGTTTCATATGAGTGTAGTAAATTATTTTATCAAAGTAATATAATACCACTGCATGAAAATATTGACTTCAGATAGTTTTCAGATAGTTTGACCTACCTGAAAATACATTCCAATTCTGCCATTCTTTCAGAGTGAGTACATTGCATCAAGCGACTGCAGGAGACAATTCATATCTGGATTTACTGGCTCCGCAGGTTATTTTATCAATCATCTCTTTGTCACAAAAATGATGTTCATTTTTTCTCTTATGTCTGCCATTTTTACCATAGGAACAGCGATTGTAACCCAGTCCAAAGCGGCTTTATGGACGGATGGTCGATACTTCCTGCAGGCCGAGCAACAACTGGACAGTAACTGGACGCTAATGAAAGCTGGTTGGTAACTTTCTTACATTGAAAATCTATCATGCTCATCAAAACATGCATACAATCAATTTACTTGTACTTTCAGGGCAAACTGATACACCTTCCCAAGCAGACTGGCTTGCTCAGGTGACATCCCTATGAATTAACCAAGAATTTGATCAAATCACTCTTGTTTCATAAAATATACATATCGAACTACAAGAATCATAATAGTTTATTTCATTCATAAAGGAACTACCATCAGGGAGTCTGGTTGGTGCAGATCCATGGCTTATGTCATTTGGTATGTTTTACAAAATTCAATTCAAAACTAGACAATGTTTTTGTTTTTGAGAAGTGAACTCCTGGCTTATTCATTTTCTAGATAGCTGGGAAAAAATAAGAAAGGTAATCTAGGATATATATATTTCAACTGAAACTTTCCACGTATTTCAAAACATTGGATATTTGTCTGGTGAAATTTATATAAAATCTTACAAATTGTTTTTGAATTGTGTAGACGTTAAAGCTCAGCGGAGTTTCTTTGGTGAAATCCAGAGAAAACTTGGTTGATGTTGTTTGGCGGGAGTTTGGGAAACCAGAGCCACCAATGAACGAAGTGTTTATTCATGATATCAAATATGCAGGTCATTAGAAAGTTACTCACCGTGTTTTCTCTCCTGGGCTGTGTTCATATATGGAAAGGTTGAAGTGCTTCTCTTTTCGTAACAGGTCAAAAATGGCAGGACAAGGTTTCGGTTGTCCGTAGCAAATTAAAGGAGAAAAAGGCTTCTGCAGTCGTGTTTACCGCCTTAGATGATGTCGCGTGTAAGTGGAGAACGAAATCTTTAACTTGCACACGTAGAAATGCTATTTCATCCCGACAAGATGTGTTCAGACTAAAATTAAGCTTAGTTAAGAAAATAAAAAACGGTCTTATTCCATCAAATTGCTTTACAGGTCGATAAAACACTCGCATAACGAGTCAACAATCTCATTTAATTACCTTGTTGTAAAACAGTTTACCTCGTTATAAAACCGTTTCATTTGGTTTGACCTAGGGCTGTTTAATCTTCGTGGCTCTGACATTGTTTACAATCCCGTTTTCATGGCATATGCAATCGTCACCGACAAAAAAGTGTGGTACGTACGTGAACTAGCTTTCTCAGTAAAAACTATACATTCACAAAACAATGAATTTCATTCATTTGGTTTGTAAAATCTTTTTAGTCTGTTCATTGATGAATTGAAACTGAGCAAGAATATTTACGAACATTTATCGGTAAAAGATGAAGTCGATGAATGTCTCTCAAATGAAAATAAAGTTACGCTTAGACCATACGAGGATATTTCTAATGCTGTAGACGAATTGGTTAGCTTGTGCCCCGGAAAGATATGGGTAAATTTGAAAGTATTTTACACAAAAAACGTGATTTTAAAAACATGCGAAATTTTGTGGTATTTCCGCATCAACCTTTTTCAAATATTTCTAGATAAGCGGTTCTTCCAGCGCGGCACTAAATACACTTATACCAAAAGTAAGTGAAATTCATTCGTAAGTGAAAAGTCTTTCTGAGTGGAGTGGTCCTTCTAGTTTATTTACGGATGGAAATCAATACTTTTAAGATCTTTTTAAGATTTTGTTGTTTTCTTCGAATACAGACAAGACGACTGTCAGAAATGTCTCCGGTGACCAAACTGAAAGCGGTTAAAAATGATGTCGAAATAGAAGGAATGAGAAACGCTCACGTAAGCAAACGAAACGGCCGTGCAGAACTGCTTTTAAGATCTAATTTCTCTATTATTCGTTAGATAAACTTCATGCACACAATTTCTCAGGCATGCGACTGTTATTTAGATCCGAGACGCCACGGCTTTGTGCGAGTATTTTTGTTGGCTCGAAAAGGAAGTATGTTCGATATTTTCAGTTGTGATTTCAGGAAAATAAAGTTTACTTAAAATTCAAGTCCTCTGTGGAAAACAAACCAGCCCTCAGTTCATGCAACGAGCTATTAGTACGCCTGGAAAGAGCAATGGTATTTTCCCGCGCTGAATCAGTGAATTGGATAGTATAATCTCTCTCACAAAAACCACTATAATCGGACTTAAAACAAGTGTCAATTTTATATCTCGTTATTTCCTATACACATGCAGGTTCCGACCGGAACACTGACCGAAATATCTGCCGCAAACAAACTGGAGGAACTTCGAAGGTGTGACAAATATCTCAAATATTAAAACATTAAAAATAATTTAAAAAAACATTGGTTCTCTTATTCCTATTTATAGTAAACTGGATGATTTTGTTAGTCTTAGTTTTTCAACAATATCAGCTTCGGGTCCACACGGGGCAATAATTCACTACAGGTATTAATAACAATCTTTTACAAACAAATAATATAGATCTTGTTATAAAGTTGAATAAAAATTGAATATCAAATATTTTGTTTGTTAAGACCAGCTGAAAGCACAGATCGAAGGCTCACCTCTGAGGAGGTGTATTTATGCGATTCGGGGGCACAGTACAGGTATAGTTTGACGTGTCACTTTTTACGGATAATCTTTTCTTCTATCTGTAGAAATCTAGTTGTGATTAACGTCGATTGATGTATAATTCAAAGTGTCACGTTTTGCAAACTCGTTGAATTCTATGCAATAGGGATGGTACGACAGATGTAACGCGCACTTTTCATTTTGGAACTCCGAACGACTTCCAAAAGGTTCATAGCTATATATATTCTAGAATAATTCTTCCCAAATCCCAGATTTTTCACAACAAACACACAAGAGCTCTTAAATATCACACGTTTTTCACAGAAATGTTTCACACGAGTCGTAAAAGGTCACATAGCTTTAGCAAAAGCTGTTTTCCCGAACAAAACGAAAGGCAAGTTGTCTTTTGTGAAATTTTAAACGCATATGAAATTACCTACGTAAATAAAGAAGGATGTTTAAAGTTAAATCAGTCATATATCTCAATCTTTTGTACTGAAAGGTTCCAAACTCGATTCCTACGCGAGGTACAGTCTTTGGGAAGGTGGTCTAGATTACAGACATGGAACAGGTCATGGTGTCGGTGCGTTCCTAAATGTTCACGAAGGTACACACTTAACCCTTGCAATACACTGATGATATATATTTCAGCACGTGTTGACACGCAAGAATTTTTAATCAGGTCCTCAGGGAATTGGCGCCAGAACGAACGATGAACCACTGGAATCTGGAATGTTTGTTTCAGATGGTAAAATGTTTTCTTTCGAAATGAAATTTTTCTGAAATTTTGTAACGTGTTCAACTTCTACGAATGGCTTTCTTTTCATTTGGAAAGTATTTTGAAATATTTTTAGAGCCTGGTTTCTATCAAGAGGGTTCATTTGGTTTTCGAATTGAAAGCATATTACTTTTAAAACCAGTCACTTTGGAGGTGAGGCTATAGGGACTCTACTATATGTTCAAACACAATCCCATTAAAAATATTTGAAGCTCAATAATTTTCAAGCCAAATTCTAGTATATTTGACAACAGGCGTATTTGTTTTGTTTCCAACAGAACAACTTCAGTAATATTGGATATCTTGGATTTGAACCAGTAACATTGGTACGATAAAACAAACTAGCCTTTCTTAGCTAAATCTAAATTTATAATTTGATATAAATACTTCGTTCAAGTGTTTGAATTTGCCTTTTAGCGATGAGTTAGTAGGCTTGAATTATAGACTTGAATTATAGTTAATTGGCTAGAATTAGTTGGCTGGTTTTAAAGGAAATTGTGCAATTGAGAATTTACTTCGGTCTTGAAATTAAAATTCTTTCAATTTAGTTTCCTATTCAAACTAAGATGTTGGTACCAGCCATGTTAAGCCCGGAAGAAGTAAGTTTTGATCTTAATCTATCGCTGAAAGTTTTCCTGGAGGGCAAAACGCTACATGTGAACATATTTTGATATATTTAGATCAATTGGTTGAACGATTACCACGAAATGTGCCGCGAGAAGGTTGGGGAGATGTTGCGCGAGCACGGAAAAATGGTGGCATACCGCTGGCTGATGAAGGAAACTGAGCCTCTTGGATAACAAATATTTGTTGAAAAATTAGTTTTTTAAGCCAAACTGCAAGCTTAATATTCACAACCCGTTGAGAAATATTTGTTTTAATGGAATTTAGCTGGGAAAATTTGTTTAAAGACGAGAATATTCTTCTACCAAACTATACAAATATTTTAGTAATTTAGAAATATCGTTAGATAGAACTATTCGGTGTTGAAAATAGGAATTAAAGGGACTATTATCATTGTCATTTTTGTCATAAAATTTAACTATTTATTTTGGAGCTTTTGTCATACCATCTCAACGCATTTGCTCGTCAAATATTGTATAAAGACAAAAACATTACGATATAAACATTACGAATGGTCTTTATATACTCGGTTGCTTCAATGGGTTTAATTGAAAGCGCTTTTCATATGGGACTGGGTGTTTTCCCGCGTTTGACGTCACTAAGAGAGATCAACTGACCTCCTGCCTGGTGTGAGGCACCTGGATCGTCACCTTCTCCTGCAATCTCCGTTTTTAACCCGCGTGTCATTCGTGCGTTGAGAAAAGTTCGTAAATATCAGTACCTTTCACGACGTTTGTCAATCGGGAGCTTTCGCCACTCGGAGTTTCCCGTAGCAAGCGTTGCACACGACCACTCGCTTATCACGTGAACCAGGGGCTAAAAAGAAAAGTTGAGATGAAGTTGAATGAAATTTGACGATATTTTAAAAATTGACTCAAGTCATCAGGCTTAAAGTCTCTGGCCTTGAAACTCGGTTATTCTGACGTTAGTGATGAGTTTTTTAGATCAACATACCTGTAGCACCAAGGGCCGCTTTTTTAACGTAATGTCGGCAACATTTTGAACAAAATTTATCACCACAACGACGGCAGTATCTCTACACAAAACACAGCGAGAAAATAAGCCAAACTTTACCAGAAGATTGCGTAAATATACTACAGACCAATCTCAGTGGTGAAAACAAGCTGAACTAAGTCTAAGCGGTAATATACAACGAAGACATTAAGTTTAAGTTTGACCATGAAGATACACTATTGCATGAATACGACTTGTACAAAATGATCGATGCTTACCCTTCTTGTTAGTAGAGATGAAAAAGCGACCTCACACGCTGCACAGTTTCCTGAGAAAAACAAGCAAAGGCGCGCGATTAGTTTCACTATAGGAATAATTTGTAGATCCTAGAAGTATTTGTGCGGTCGAGTTTTAAACTGTGGTCTGTAGCGCCCACAGGTAAACACAGGTGTAGTGTATTCTGTCACAGACCGAAATATGAACCTGGACACCAATTACCTTTGCAATTCTCTTCTATGGATCTAATCACGCAAAGAAAAAATATTACAAATGCATTACATACCTTTCTTAAACTCTTGTCTTCTTTTTCTGTACTCGCTAAGATGTGACACAAATGACTCTATGAAACAATTAAACAGATGTAGTGAGTGTTGAACAGCGCTGTTTTTTCAATGAGATATTAAACCAGGAGTCAGTTAATTCGAAGGAAATTATAAAATTATAATCCTTACTTGAACGCTTTCCCACGCTTTGGTTAATCTAAAGCAAAACATTGCTGATGTAACATTCTATAAACTTGTTTGCTGTTCTGTTTATAGTCAGGTTAATTCAAGATAGAAATATCTTCCTCTCCACATCAGTTCTGAGTCCAAGAATGTTTATTTAATACTAGCCTAAACCAGTGGCCTAAACAGTGAAATCTTACATCAATCTCTTCAAATTCCTCACTGTGTTCGCTGCTGCTATAGATTTCATCATCTTCAAATGAGCTGGCATCGCTTTCAACAACACTGGAAGCATCGTACTAGATAAATACAAAACAGACCAACATAAAGTGTTTTCATTCTTTCATAACTCAGGATTTCTATTCAGGGAGTTTAAAATAGTCATCTTTATATAACCATGTAGTTTAAAATAGCACATTTAAGAGTTTGTCTATGCCTTCTACATATGCCAAAGATGATTCTTATTATTGTCCACCTTCATATGTTACGATGTTTGAAAGAAAATTTAGAAGATTTACAGATTTAGCTACATTTACCTACCCATTCTGTATCTTTGTGATCTTCTTCCAAGTAGTAAATACCCTCCAATCCCGCAAGTTTAAGAATGGCTGTGTTTTCAGCAATAACTGTAAAAATATTTAATAAAATATAGTTTTAAAAGTGTTGTATCACTTGCATGATATTGCAGTGACTAGTGGCAAAACTTGCAAAAGCCTGTCAAGGATATATAAGAGGCTTTCATTTAAAAATCTTAATCAATGTAACTTTACGCATGTTGGTAAAATACACAGCATGTAAACGTAATTCATGCTTCGGCGTATGTTTAATTGATCCACTTACCTTTTTTGAATTCATCATTATTTAAGATGATATACAGAAATGAGGCAAGGAAGATAAGAGAGAATGGTAGAAAACTTAAAAGAACCATCAAAGCAAAAGTGGAACCAAGAAATCTGAAAAAAAGTTGTCAAGAAGTCAGCAAGTACATCTTGAAAAATTTCACTTCAAAATAAGCAGTTCTCTGTTTCCCCTGACCTTTTAGTCAACTGAGGATCTTCCCACAAAAACAGGCTGAAATAAAAAAATTAAAATATTATCAAAATAAAATGTACTGAATATCGCATCAACAAGCAAAAATATATCAACAAATATTCAACCAGAAATTTGTATGATTGCATTGAGTTAACAGAAAACAATTGCATGTCCTGGACTTGATTGTTTCAGCAAGCTTTATGAACGTATTCACTTGAATTCACTCTGTTATTTGGTCCAATTATTCACAATTTTATTACCTTTGCACATAAGAAACTTTGCCATACACCATGTCCATATAATTATGGATTTCACATAAACTATATTTTAAATAAAAAGATATGACAAAATGAATCCTAAATTCCACCTACTGTATGCTCAATGCAATATATATCATGCACACAAATGAAACCACATTAATAAAACTCAAACAGAGAACTTACACTTTAATGAATCGTTTCACATCTCTTCTTGACCTTTCAACCATCTCTTGTTTACGTTTCTAGCAAAATACACATTGCCAATCAAATTTCTCTTTGTGAAGAAAGTATAAATGTACAATCTCATCAGCTCTTTATGTGGAATATAATATGTGTATTACATCATTATATACTGGTGAATCATACCAGAAGTTCTTCGTCGTCTTTCTCCACAGCCATGACAACAATGTGCCTTAGTTGTTTTGATTCTCCCAAACTCTTTATGTACGTCACAAGAAGAACAAGTGGAATTGGAGATAAACAGAATGCAAAGAGAAATTCTGAAAAACAAACATAGCATGAATGTGTTGATGCACATTTTACTGAGTGGTGAAGAAAGGAGCCATCTCCTAAGTTAACCCAATCTAAATGGATGGCCAGTATACTGTAGGTATGCATGTGTAAGGATTAAGGAAGTTAAATATAGTGGTAGCTTTCATAAAAAAGGCATATCTAGTTTTACATGCACAAAATTTGTCAATTTGTACTTACCAGGAAAGCTGATACAGAGAGTGATGGTGAACAGACAGCAAAGAAAAGAAAGAGATGGTATATCCCACCTAAAATAAAATAGTAGAAATATGGTAAAATATACTAAAGTGTCTGCAACTTTTTTATGAGTTCTGATCGCACAATATAACACGTAAAGTCACGAGTTTCATTCACTTCCTTGTGGAACGAATTGATCATTTAATACCTTCTCACCAAATTTGTCGCTTGCAGAACTTCATTCAAATCGTCCAATTGCGCTTTTAAACAATCGTAGGAGTTTAAAAATTTCCCGATATCAAAATCTTGTGATTCATGCTCTGAGCTTTGCGCAACCATTTCGTTTCTCAACGAGATCGCAGGACTGTCAGCACAAAGAGAATGTGTAAACAAACGTCAGAAATGATTCATGCTGACAGTCTGAATGCTAGCCTTCTAGCTCGTATTTCGTACTCTTTCTTCATGATCTTACAGTTGCTTTATTGCCTGAGAAGATATCTAGAACTAGAGCATTTCATCCACGAAAAAACCCTTTAAAATCGAATGTAAAATGAAGAAAACAATCGATATTTTGAAAAATTTGAATTCATTCGAAAGTCACATGCTTTGAAAGCATGACAACAAGTGGTTATACCTCCAGTTGATATCGCGGTCAGTGACTACTGACTACTCATTGATCTGGGTGTGGCAGGGTGTGGTGGGCATCCCGCCGATTTTAGGGCAAACTAATCGATGAAGAATTCTCAAGGTGTTGCAGGACACCGCAACAATATTAAATCAAGTTAAAATAGTTTAAAATATATGCATATCACCCACTATCCCCGGGCACTCCATCCCTGATCATATTGGGGGACAATTTCCAGTGGGCGTTCAGAGAAAATCCAGACCCCACCCTCCAAACACACGTCAGTAGCGGTGGGTTCAAGATTGATATAAATAGAAGATGGATATAAATGAATATCTTGATATAAATGGATGAAAATGGATGTGCCCGACAGGCTTGTTTATTATTACAGCTTACGTACTCCATAGTTTATCAGTGGAGTTAGTTTTGTAGAGTATCAACAAGATGTTTTTGTTACAGATTAGTTAATAAGTTTGTTTCACTTCAGGGCAGTTTTCAAAAGGTGCAATAGCGTGTTTGGTTTCGTCTATGGGGAGCAAGAAGCAAAGCTTCGTTGCCACAATGCCGTCCTCGAGTCGAGCTCCGATGCCGAGCGAACGTTTGCCGAAGTTACTTGTGCAACAACATTTCTTCTCCCTTATATTGTAAGCATCTTTGTTGCAATCTATAGAGAAATGATAGACAGCAATTATGACAAAATGGAAACCGCGGCCTTAGAGGAAAGAAGCATCTGAAGAACAACTCTTAGGGATAATCATGCCTGTGCAAGGAGCCTATAGATTGATGGAATTGTTGCCTTTCGTGCGATATTAGGCTTTCATGACTTCGGAAAGGAGATGGGTGGAGTATAAGTGTCTGCATTGAACCAGAACAAGTTTCCATACGATTCATACTTACAACTATATGGGCAGTCTGCAAACGAGTACTTGCAATTCCATTCCCCCTTCTCTGCGCATGTACTATAGAAAGAAAAGCACTGCATCATCTTCCATGCATTATCCCAACAGGTTAAACAAGATGAAGAACTTATCCACCCATGTTAAGATTTTGACTGCCACAAATTTTGACTAAATTGATAGAAAAAATATTGTACAGCCATGCAATTACTGACCATTTCATGCAATTGCATTTTTGAGTCTCGCCTATCTTATGCCAAGATGCCATTTCCCATTGACAATCTTCAAAATAAACAAGGAAATATAGAATCATCGAAGTAAAAAAATTTGAAACGGAAATCAAATCAAATATGCTGCATTTACAATGGACACATGCAATTTCCATTCTTACCAGATATGACTATAAGTGCACGAAGCCTGAAGTCTAAGACAGTTCCTGGGTCTCAATCCGAAATTAAACATTGGGCAATCATTCAATATGAAAATTGAAACACCCGAAGTTTCTTTGCAGTGTAAAAGACAAATTTTAAAAATCAACTGCAAGATAGATCCATAAGCATACTTGGATTTCATTTGCTCGGCTAGAGGAGGAAATAAGCGAGACAAATAATACAAATGTGTTTTACTTACAGCCTTGTCTGAACAGCACGTCTTGACCAAAATCGATAACTGACCTGATTTCTGTGTCAAGACCTAAATGGTATATAAGATCATGGATTCATGCGTTGAATTCATTCACTGACTTTTGGAAAACTGCAAGAAGAAGAAACAGGTTCTTTTTTATTAATTTGACTTACCGTTTGTCGTGCATAAGAGAAACGACAGCGCTGCATAGCAAAAGAAAACCTGTGATCTCATCGCCGTTTTACAATCTATTCCCTGCTCTCACGTTTGTCCACAACCTACTGAACTTAGTCACAAGTTATCACCGATTATGAAATTTGGTCTGCCAATTTCAAGTGCCATGCAGCCTTGCCACTTAAACCTGTCATGTGTTAATAAACTTTTAGCCAACCATACGTTGTCGCGGTAATGTCAAAAGACCGTGACTGATTTCCCCCTATTATAGTTTTTTGCCTTTCGTTATGGACGAGACACTTCCCTTATTTAATATATTCACAGGGGAAACAGGTAGGTTAGGTTGTATAAAAGACTAGTTAACTTTTGACTGTAGTTAACGGCAGAATTTGCCAACCAGATTCGTGTATTTCTGAGTTTAACTAGAATTTAACTACATGCAAAATATAGTTATTAAAGTTTTAAAGAGTTTAAAACAACTGGCCTTGGTATAATACTGTAATATCTTTAGAAGGTTTAAAAACGAACTTTCTCTGAGCCTCATTTTTACAATTGATTTCTGCGTTATTTAATATAGACCAGAATAAGGCTTTAAATTTTATTTACAAACGACGTTTCGGAGTTTACTCCATCATCAGGTTAAGATAATCAGATTATGTACAATTTTGAATAAATCGCGTATAAAAACCGTTAAAGCTTGCGTCCGTTACATTTTCGTGCGCATGCGATTTTTGTAAGCATAAAATGACGTGTCCGAGAAATTCTAATAAAATTAGAAATTAATTATAGTATTATTTATACTGCATGCTGTCTAAACTACAAAATCTATAATGTTTAATTGTTCGTATTTCCCATTCAAGTCCGGTTTCAACTTTTGAATGAATAAAGCTTCGGTAATCTTGCGTTCTACCGATCCTTTCGTTTTTTTTAAAATCTTGATCGAAAGCTTAGGTTTTTGTCCACGATGTAGTTCACTATAATGCTTTGCGAAAGCCATGTTCTTGTAGGATTTCGCCGTAGGATTTGCTGCAGATCGATAATGTTCTTGGAATCTGACGGCTAATGGTCTACTTGTTTCTCCTACATATGTTGCTCCGCACAGGTCACAGTTTATTTGGTAGACAACGTCTTTCTGCGAGCATCGAATGGGACGAAGACAAAGACGAAGACGAAGACGAAGACGTTGTCTACCAAATAAACTGTGACCTGTGCGGAGCAACATATGTAGGAGAAACAAGTAGACCATTAGCCGTCAGATTCCAAGAACATTATCGATCTGCAGCAAATCCTACGGCGAAATCCTACAAGAACATGGCTTTCGCAAAGCATTATAGTGAACTACATCGTGGACAAAAACCTAAGCTTTCGATCAAGATTTTAAAAAAAACGAAAGGATCGGTAGAACGCAAGATTACCGAAGCTTTATTCATTCAAAAGTTGAAACCGGACTTGAATGGGAAATACGAACAATTAAACATTATAGATTTTGTAGTTTAGACAGCATGCAGTATAAATAATACTATAATTAATTTCTAATTTTATTAGAATTTCTCGGACACGTCATTTTATGCTTACAAAAATCGCATGCGCACGAAAATGTAACGGACGCAAGCTTTAACGGTTTTTATACGCGATTTATTCAAAATTGTACATAATCTGATTATCTTAACCTGATGATGGAGTAAACTCCGAAACGTCGTTTGTAAATAAAATTTAAAGCCTTATTCTGGTCTATATTAAATAACGCAGAAATCTACTGTAATATCATTATAAAGGCATCGGAAATAATTAGTATTATAATTAATCCGTATATAACAACGGAAATACGCTTGAAGTTAACGTTCACTTAGTTCCCTCCTATATTGTCATCGAAATATTAGCACACAGGGAGAGAGTAACTGAAGCGTACAGAAGCCAGAGCTGACTTCCTGATGCAATTTTTTAGGTCAAAATACAGAATGTCTTCAAAACAAAGCATTGTCGTTGAAAATTAAATACGCCGTAGGCTCAGTGCATTTCAAATTAACAACCAAACCCCTGTTACGAATTACGAGTCTTGCATTTATTTTGACTCACAGTCTCAAAGCTTGACTCGACGTTTACTATACGATTCTAACTTTCTACCTCCCAGTTCGACTACGTCGCGCAAAGCAGTTGTAAGCATGTTGCAATCATAAGCTCTCAGACTCAGTGACACGCGACCGTTAACACCCCTGACGGTTTTACTGCGTAAATAAACACATCATGAGCTTGCTCATGTCTGGAATGTTTGGCCAATCAGGTTTCAGCGCTGTGCTGTGTTGTGTTGTGTGTGTTTTGGTAAAAAATGCTTGCGGCTGGCTATGATGCTAAAAATATTCACCCTCGGAATGTCTAAAAAGGTCTTGTTTCCCCTATTAACCCCCCCCCCCGGGTCGTATGTACCGCCTTTCACAAGTTTTCTACATGAAACCAAGCTTCATTGATTAAAATATCTCATTTATTCAACTCTTTATGGAAAGTCTTTCAATAAATAAACTGCACTACACGAGCAACCTGTTTTTTGCTTTACAAAACTTTATTAATTTAACAAATCAGTACAAGACATATCACTTGAAATGGACAACCATTTCGTTTGAGTAAAACATTCAGAATACATGCAGTGCACAATAACCAGAAATTAAAAAGATGCTTCGATGCTGTTTTTGTTGTGGTTCCAATGATGTTTTTAGCCCTCGAGGTCACTCGATGGATGTGAATTTTTCTAAATTTTGAACCTAGGACAATTGGCTTTCTTTGGTTTAATAGTGGCGTAGGAGCAACACTTGGAAACAGTGGTGTTGTAGTATAAGTGACCGCAGCAAGAAAACCGAGTGTTCTTTCTATAAACTTTACCGCAACAACAGATCTGAGACAGAGGGTTGAACACCGTATTGCCACAATCTGCATGTGCAAAGAAAAAATAAAAAATTATAATGATATTGATGCAACGAGTGCACAAATAGTCATTTCGTAGAGAATTTGCAATTAGGTAAATAATTTGAATCAAGCAGCGACTCATTATGGGCTATATGTATAGTATTACAAAGACAGTGATTAATCTCAGCCTGTCACAATGATTTTCCCAAATTCGCTTTTTCTGTACTAATAATTTGTAGGAAACGTTTCGAAAGGCAAATTGGTAAACATGATTGCATTTCCGAGGCAGACTTGTGATTTAAGATTCTAAAGCACCCCCCCCCCCCCCCCAGGGCCTCTTTCAAGAAAGCTCTTGTTCGGTTCCTATGTAACACGTTATATGATAATCCATCAAAGCCTTCCGCGGCAAAATTTACTTACAAAAGTATGGACAAAATGCAAACTCGTAGGCACAATTCCATTGTGATTTTGCAGCGCATGTGCTAAAAAGATCAAACATTACAATTTAAACATTGTTACGATACAACCAAGCTACTATTGAAATCAAACCGGATAAAAAAGATACTGACCATTTCATACAACTGCATCTGATTTGTACTCCAGGTTTGAACCAGACGCCCACACCCCAATGACAATCTAAAAAGTTCATATATAAAATGGTGTTTAATGCGTTTCTTTTGATCCTTGGATCGCTTCCTTGAATTGCTAAAGATAGCGGGCGATCAGAAGAAGAAGATAGACTGTTTTAGGAAAACACTAAAAGCAGGCCACAAGATAAGACAAACGTTTCTTACTTCCAGCTTGAAGGTGATTCAGTTCGTCCTCATGAGAATCATTTTGAACTAATGCAGTGTCTAGGGCTGTCTCTTTATCGTCCTTAGAAGCTTCATCGCTCAGCTTTTCTTTGGCGATTTCTGCAATGAAAAAATCGAATCTTTAAGTCGATAATTACACACGCGAAGCTGGGAACATTTATAATTACCTGGGACATCGTTCTGTTTCGAGGCAGGTATTGATTCCAAACTCTTTGCAGAGTCCAAACTCTTCGCAGGGTCCGGATAATCTCCGTTGCCTCCAAAAACAATACCTGGAAAGAAAGAAGATTCCTTAGTCGTAAAATACAAAAATGTGTAAATAAAGCCTCGAATTTCATTGAAAGTTTCTTCAATCAGTTCTTACCGTTCGCTTGGGAAAGCGCCAGAGCTAAGATGACAACCACTAGAAATTTCATTGCTATTTCTTTTTATTTCTTGTTCTAGATTTCGTGGCTGCTCGCTTGAACAGACCTTGTTCCTTGGCAAGTTTGGCAAGAGCTGATTATCAGGTCAAATGCCAGCCTTTTTTTAAGACCGAAAATTGCCCATTGAACGCGCAACAGAGTGTTACAAATTGAGTTTTTATGACTTTTGAAAAATGAGGCTTTAATAAAAACACCGAATGCTTGAATGAGTTTAATTTAAATCCCCTTTTTTGTTTCAAGTTGCGAATTATCTATACTTTTCCCATTAGCAATATCCAAGGCCTAGGTTGTACGTCGCATTTTGGTCGCGTCGAATGCAATTCAAACAATAGATAATGAAATGATCATGAAGCTGAATGACGTTTATCGTCTCATTATCTGTTGTTTGAATTGCATTCGACGCGACCAAAACGAGACGTGTATAACCCAGCTCTAATTTCATCATTTCGCTTTATATGAAGAAAAAAACCGTTCCAATAAACCGATATTGCTGTTGTTGGAGGGTAATTTGCCGCGTGATTTGGTAAAATTCGTGCAAGTACAAGATGATTGTACCTCATTGCCCTTTTTGGTAATCGATTTTTATCGATTTTCGTGTCGGATTGAGCGGGTAAATACCAAAAATCAATTGACAAAATCTCCCATAGCAACGAAAGTTTTGCATTGCTATGACGCGGCGTTTGACCTCATGGAAAAGCCTAAGACGAAGTGCGCAAGAAAATGACCTATTACATCGTTTTTGTGAATATAACAGGTGCGTTTTTACGTTGACTTTATATATATTGTTAACTTTAAGTAGATATATGTACTTGTATCTTAACGTCCCCATAAGCAGTTCTCTGTCTTTGTGTACTATAATAGCTGGCTGCGCGCATTCGACATCGCTTAATTCTTTTACACAAATCTTTCACACGAAACCAAGCTTCATTGATTAAAATATCTCATTCTAACTCTTTATGAAACTTCTTTGAATAAATAAACCGCACTACACGAGCAAGCAACCTGTTTTTTTGCTTTACAAAACTTTATTAATTTAACAAATCAGTACAAGACATATCACTTGAAATGGACAACCATTTCGTTTGAGTAAAACATTTAGAATACATGCAGTGCACAATAACAAGAAATTAAAAAGATGTTTCAGTGCTGTTTTTGTTGTGGTTCCAAATGATGTTTTCTGCACTCGAGGTCACTCGATGTTGAATTTTCTAAATTTTGAACCTAGGACAATTGGCTTTCTTTGGTTTAACGGTGTAGTAGTTGCAGCACTTGGAAACAGCGCTGTTGTAATAGAAGTAACCGCAACATCTAAACCCACGTCTCTTTGCATGAACTTTACCGCAACAACAGATATGAGTGGCAGGGTTGTACACCAAATTACCACAATCTGTGCAAAGAAAAAATACAAAAATAAAATGATATTGATGTAACGAGTAGACGAATAGTCATTAGGTAGAGAATTTGCAATTAGGTACATCATTTGAATCAAACAGCGACTCATTATGAGCTCTATATTACTTTACAAAGACAGTGATTAATCTCAGCCTGTCACAACGATTTCTCAAATTCGCTTTTTCTGTACTAATAATTTGTAGGAAACGTTTCGAAAGGCAAATATGATTGGTAAAAATGATTGCATTTCCGAGGCAGACTTATGATTTAAGACTCTAAAGCCCCCCCCCCCCCAGGGCCTCTTTCAAGAAAGCTCCGCCCCCCCAAACCAAAAACTCCTGTCCGGTTCCTAGGTAACACCTTATATGACAATCCATCATTAAAGCCTTCCGCGGCAAAATTTACTTACAAAAGTATGGACAATATGCAAACTCGTAGGCACAATTCCATTGTGATTTTGCAGCGCATGTGCTAAAAAGATCAAACATTGCAAGTTAAACATTGTTGAAGCTCCCGATACAACCAAGCTACGATTGAAATCAAACCGGATAAAAAAGATACTGACCATTTCATACAGCTGCATCTGATTTGTACTCCAGGTTTGAACCAGACGCCCACACCCCAATGACAATCTAAGAAGTTATAAAATGGTGTTTAATGTGTGTCTTTTGATCCTTGGATCGCTTCCTTGAATTGCTAAGGATAGCAGGTGATTAGAAGAAGAAGATAGACACTAAAAGCAGGCTACAAGATACGACAAACGTTTCTTACTTCCAGCCTGAAGGTGTTTCAGTTCGTCCTCATGAGAATCATTTTGAACTAAGGCAGTATCTGGGGCAGTCTCTTTATCGTCCTTCGAAGCTTCATCGCTCAGTTTTTCTTTGGCGATTTCTGCAATGAAAAAATCGAATATTTTTAAATCTGTGTCGATAATTACACACGCGAAGCTGGGAACATTTATAATTACCTGGGACATCGTTCTGTTCCGACGCAGGTATTGATTCCAAACTCTTTGCAGAGTCCAAACTCTTCGCAGGGTCCGGAGAATCTCCCCGGTTGCCTCCGAAAACAATACCTGGAAAGAAAGAAGATTCCTTAGTCGTAAAATACAAAAATGTGTAAATAAAGCCTCGGATTTCATTGAGAGTTTCTTCAGTTCTTACCGTTCGCTTGGGAAAACGCCAGAGCTAAGACGACAACCACTAGAAATTTCATTGCTATTTCTTTTTTTTTCTTGTTCTAGATTTCGTGGCTGCTCGCTTGAACAGACCTTGTTCCTTGGCAAGTTTGGGAAGAGCTGACTATCAGTTCAAATGCGAGCCTTTTTTTAAGACCGAAAATTGCCCATTGAACGCGCAACAGAGTGTTACAAATTGAGTTTTTATGACTTTTGAAAAATGAGGCTTTAATAAAAACACCGAATGCTTGAATGAGTTTAATTTAAATCCCTTTTATTGTTTGAAGTTGCGAGTTATTTATACTTTTCCCATTAGCAATATCCAAGGCCTAGGTTATACGTCGCATTTTAGTCGCGTCGAATGCAATTCAAACAATAGATAATGAAATGATAATGAAGCTGAATGACGTTTATCGTCTCATTATCTGTTGTTTGAATAGCATTCGACGCGACCAAAACGAGACGTGTATAACCCAGCTCTAATTTCATCATTTCGCTTTATATGAGGCAAAAAACTGTTCCAATAAACCGATATTGCTGTTGTTGGAGGGTAATTTGCCGCGTGATTTTGTAAAATTCGTGCCTTGAACAAAAGCGTTTGTGCGTAAGAACAGATGATTGTACCTCATTGCCCTTTTTGGTAATCGATTTTTATTGATTTTCGTGTCGGATTGAGCGGGTAAATACTAAAAATCAATTGACAAAATCTCCCATAGCAACGAAAGTTTTGCATTGCTATGACGCGGCGTTTGACCTCATGGAAAAGCCTAAGACGAAGTGCGCAGGAAAATGACCTATTACATCGTTTTTATGAATATAACAGGTGCGTTTTTACGTTGACTTTATATATATTGTTAACTTTAAGTAGATATATGTACTTGTATATCAACGTCCCCATAAGCATTTCTCTGTCTTTGTGTACTATAATAGCTGGCTGCGCGCATCCGACATCGCTTAATTCTTTACACAATTTTTTTAAAACTCTTTATGGAACGTCTTTCAATAACCAGCACTACACGAGCACGCAATTTGTATTTTTGCTTTACAAAACTTTATTAATTTAACAAATCAGTACAAGACATATCACTTGAAATGGACAACCATTTCGTTTGAGTAAAACATTCAGAATACAGTGCACAATAACAAGAAATTAAAATTCGATGCTGTTTTTGTTGTGGTTCCAAATTTTGTTTTCAGCCCTCGAGGTCACTCGATGTGGACTTTTCTAAATTTTGAACCTAGGACAATTGGCTTTCTTTGGTTTAACGGTGTAGTAGTTACAGCACTTGGAAACAGCAATGTTGTAGTAGAAGTAACCGCAGCAAGAAAAAGTACGTCTCTTTCTATAAACTTTACCGCAACAACAGATCTGAGTGTTTGGATTGTACACCACATTACCACAATCTGTGCAGAGAAAAAATACAAAAAAATTATAATGATATTGATGTAACGAGTAGACGAATAGCCATTAGGTAGAGAATTTGCAATTAAGTACATCATTTGAATTAAACCGCGACTAATTATGAGCTCTATACTTTACAAAGACAGTGATTAATCTCAGCCTGTCACAATGATTTTCTCAAATTCGCTTTTGCTGTACTAATAATTTGTAGGAAACGTTTCGAAAGGCAAATATGATTGGTAAACATGATTGCATTTCTGAGGCAGACTTATGATTTAAGATTCTAAAGCCTCACCCCCCCTAGGGCCTCTTTCAAGAAAGCTCCGCCCCCCGTCCCTCAAACCAAAAACTCCTGTCCGGTTCCTAGGTAACACGTTGTATGACAAGCCATCATTAAAGCCTTCCGCGGCAAAATTTACTTACAATAGTATGGACAATATGCAAACTCGTAGGCACAATTCCATTGGGATTTTTCAGCGCATGTGCTAAAAAGATCAAACATTGCAATTTAAACATTGTTAAGCTTACGATACAACCAAGCTACGATTGAAATCAAACCGGATAAAAAAGATACTGACCATTTCATACAGCTGCATCTGACCTTTTGTCCAGGTTTGAACCAGACGCCCACACCCCAATGACAATCTAAAAAGTTATAAAATGGTGTTTAATGTGTGTCTTTTGATCCTTGGATCGCTTCCTTAAATTGCTAAAGATAGCGGGCGATCAGAAGAAGAAGATAGACTGTTTTAGGAAAACACTAAAACCAGGCCACGAGATAAGACAAACGTTTCTTACTTCCAGCCTGAAGGTGTTTCAGTTCGTCCTCATGAGAATCATTTTGAACTAATGCAGTGTCTGGGGCAGTCTCTTTATCGTCCTTTGAAGCTTCATCGCTCAGCTTTTCTTTGGTGATTTCTGCAATGAAAAAATCGAATCTTTAAATCTGTGTCGATAATTACACACGCGAAGCTGGGAACATTTATAATTACCTGGGACATCGTTCTGTTTCGACGCAGGTATTGATTCCAAACTCTTTGCAGAGTCCAAACTCTTCGCAGGGTCCGGATAATCTCCGTTGCCTCCAAAAACAATACCTGGAAAGAAAGCAGATTCCTTAGTCGTAAAATACAAAAATGTGTAAATAAAGCCTCGGATTTCATTAAAAGTTTCTTCAGTTCTTACCGTTCGCTTGGGAAAGCGCCAGAGCTAAGACGACAACCACTAGAAACTTCATTGCTATTTCTCTTTATTTCTTCTTCTAAATTTCGTCGCTGCTCGGTTGAAGAGATCGTGTTCCTTGGCAAGTCTGGCAAGAACTGACTATCAGTTCAAATGCAAGCCCTTTTTGAGGACCGAAAATTGCCAATTAAACGCGCAACAGAGTGTCACAAATTGAGTTTTTATGACTTTTAAAAAATGAGCCTTTAATGAAAACATCGAATGCTTGAATGCGTTTAATTTAAATCCCTTTTTTGTTTGAAGTTTCGAATTATTTACACTTTTCCCATTAGCAATATCTAATTTCATCATTTCGCTTTATATGAGGAAAAAAACTGTTGTAATAAACTGATATTGCTGTTGTTGTTGGAGGGTAATTTGCCGCGTGATTTAGTACAATTTGTGTCTTGAGCAGAAGCGTTGTGCGTAAGAACAGATTATTATACCTCATTGCCTTTTTTGGTAATCGATTTTTAAATCGATTTTCGTGTCGGATTGAGTGGGCATTGAGAAAAATTTGCGGCAATCTGCGTCACTTCTGCCCTCACAAAAATCAATTTTCCATAACAACGAAAGTATAAAGCATTATTAAGACCCGGCGTTTGAAGTCATGCACGAAAAAAATCCTAAATCGAAACGCGCAAGAAAATGCATGTCAGCTCACCAAAATCAGTTTTCCTTAACGACAAAACGTGAAACCAAAATTTCGAGCCGATACGACAATAAGAAACAGATATCAAGGAAACCTGGTGTCCTCTCTTCCTCGAGAAGTGACATTTTCCAATGTTCTGCAGCTAAATGTTTTAAACTATCGCCAGCCCTAGGGCTGAGAAAAACTTCAAAACTTTCCTTCCTGATACAAAAACCCTTCTTCTTGATCATGCATCATGCAGGTATAAGGGAGGAGTAGGATATTCCTAACGGTCTATAATATAATATATACCATGTATAACACAAATTGTAACACTGATAGGCCTTTTTTATTTTGTAGGCTATTAATGGACCTTTTGCATAATAGACCAACTTTTTGATTCAGGCAACAAAAAGGAAATTTCCTAAAAGTGCATACTAAATTTAGTACTTAAGATAAACTTAGTTAAATTACCAAGTTTGGCTGCGAAATGTTGTAAAGTATTGAAAATATAGCCAGACGAAGTTGGGCCAATTTTGTATACTTTTTATGTTGGTCTATTATGCAAAAGGCCATTACAGTATAGATACAAGTGTAGAAGAAGAGCCATCTAAAATGACAGGCTACAATAAATTCGTTATTAATAATTATAAATGTATATTACTATAACTCTCGGGTTTTCAGGAGCTGATCTCGTCACACTCCATTTGACTCGACAATGATCATGATGCTGGCAAAACGCAACATGCAGGATGACTGCTACGACGAGTTTGCGTTGATTATAAACGTTATTGTTACATTCGCTTAGATTAAACGCTTGTTTGCACATTCAGTAAAAATAACTACATATGTTTATATACGTTTTGCAGCAGAGAGCTGGGACAGAACGCACACCTTGCAATTAATTGACTAATCACCAGCCTAACAACTCAGAAGAGCTCGCAATACATAATATGTTAACTCGTTAACTTCGCCTATATATAGACATAGTCTATTAAGAAATTGACTGTTAAGTAATTACATTTACTTGTCTAAAAGACTTAAAGTAATGCGAAAAGGCATTATGTCTGCATGTCATGATTATATTATTCATATTAACTACAGATCTTTCGCCAGGAGTTGAATCTACGCCTTTCTTGGCAAAAATGTTTTTCTTATCGTTATATTTGCGGATATTTTTTACTTAATGGTAATGATATTATTTGCAGAATGCAAACACGTTGAGTATAGTTTCTTGCGTCTTGCTCTAAAAGTTTAAATACTAGTTCATGTCATTCCCACCTATATATTGTGAGGATCTACTTATCTGCTATTTCTTCATAATGTTCTCCCGTGATCTTGATTACTTTTTCAAAATATAACTTTCCAGCCAAAGTATACGTGCGACACACAGGTGTGTCGTACTTAAAAATATGAGTCTTGGTTGGTTTTATCCAACGTTTCTTGAAACGATCGTATTCTTTCACATCACACCAAACACCAGGAGAGCGCATTACTTGAAATTTAACTTTGATATCGGTAGCATTGCTTGGTACCATGATCGAACTTTCGCTACCTTCAGCCTTGCCATTTTTTTCTTTACCGTTCACTTTATAGTCAACAAGCATCTTGGAATACCAACTGCCTTCAGAAATATACTTCAGTCTAACTCGTTCGTCTATATCATCATCACCTTGCTCTAACTTCACGACAACTTTACATTGCTCGATTTCAGACAAAGTGTAGGTGCAACTGATTGGTGTGTCGTACTCAAAAATATGAGGCTGGATTGGTTCTATCCAACATTTTTTAACGTGATCGTACTCATTTACATCAGACCAACTGCCAGAAGAGTCTAGTGCCTGAAAACTGACTTTGATTTTCGTGGCATTGTTGGGTATCCAAATCACACTTCCACTACCTTCACCCTTGTGATGTTTCTCTTCACCGTCTTCTTCATAATCGACGAGCATTTTGGAAGACCTACTTCCTTTAAAATTATACTTCAGTCCAATTCGTTCCTGTATATCATCATCTCCTGTGACCTTCATCACAGCTTCATAATACAAGCTTCCATCCAAAGTATACGTGCAACTCATTGGTGTGTCGTACTCAAAAATATGAGTCTTGGTTGGTTTTACCCAACATTTTTTGAAACGGTCGTATTCTTTCACATAACACCAAACACCAGGAAAACGCATGACCTGAAATTTAACTTTGATGTTGGTAGCGTTGTTTGGTAACCAAATCGAACTTCCAGTACCATGAGCCTCGTGAGGTTTCTTTTCACTACCCTCTTCGAATTCATAATAAACGAGCATCTTGGACGACCAACTTCCCTTAGAAATATACTTTAGGTTCTTTTGTTTGTCTTCATTATAATCATCTGTGGAGGCCCTTTTTACTTTTTCATAATACAAGTTTCCAGCCAAAGTGTACGTGCAACTCACTGGTGTGTCGTACTTGAAAATATGAGTCTTTGTTGGTTTTACCCAACATTTTTTGAAACGGTCGTATTCTTTCACATCACACCAAACACCAGGAGCACGCATGACTTGAAATCTAACTTCGATGTTGGTAGCATTGTTTGGTAAGCATATCGAACTTCCACTACCATGACTCTTGTCATATTTCTTTTCACCGTTCTCTTCATAATCAACAAGCATCTTTGAAGACCAACTTTCTCCAGTAATGTACTTTAATCTAATTCGTTCGTCTATTATATCATCTCCAGAGACTTTCATCACAGCTTCATAATACAGGTTTCCATCCAAAGTGTACGTGCAGCTCACTGGTTTGCCGTACTTGAAAATATGAGTCTTGGTTGGTTCTACCCAACATCTTCTGAAACGATCGTATTCTTTCACATCACACCAAACACCAGGAGCGCGCATGACCTGAAATTTAACTTCGATATTAGTGGCATTGGTTGGAATCAAAATCGAACTTCCACTACCATGACCCTCGTTATGTCTCTTTTGACCGTTCTCTTCATAATCAACGAGCATCTTGGAGCACCAACTTCCTTTAGAAAAATACTGTAGTTTAATTTTTTCTTCAACATCATCATCTCCAGAGACTTTCGTCACAGCTTCATAATATAGGTTTCCATCCAAAGTGTACGTGCAACTCAGTGGTGTGTTGTACATGAAAATATGAGGCTTGGTTGGTTTTACCCAACATTTCTTGAAACGGTCGTATTCTTTCACATCAGACCAAACACCAGGAGCGCGCATGACCTGAAATCTAACTTCGATATTAGTGGCATTGGTTGGAATCAAAATCCAACTTCCACTACCATGACCCTCGTTATGTTTCTTTTCATCGTTCACTTTATAATCAACAAGCATCTTGGAAGACCAACTTCCTTTTGAAATATACTTGAATGTAATTTGTTCGCCCATATCATCATCTCCAGAGACGTTCGTTACGGCTGCATCATTCAAGTTTCTATCCAAAGTGTACGTGCAACTCACTGGTTTGTCGTACGTGAAAATATGGGGCTTGGTTGGTTCTACCCAACATTTCTTGAAACGGTCGTATTCTTTCACATCAGACCAAACACCAGGAGCGCACTTGACTTGAAATCTAACTTGGATTTTGGTGGCATTGGTTGGTATCAAAATTGAACTTCCACTACCATGACCCTCATTATGTTTCTTTTTACCGTTCTCTTCATAATCAACAAGCATCTTGGAAGACCAACTTTCTCTAGAAATATACTTTAATCTTATTCGTTCGTCTATTATATCATCTCCCGAGACTTTCGTCACTTTTTCAAAATACAAGTTTCCATCCAAAGTGTACGTGCAACTCACTGGTGTGTCGTACTCAAAAATATGAGGCTTGGTTGGTTTTACCCAACATTTCTTGAAACGGTCGTATTCTTTCACATCAGACCAAACACCAGGAGCACGCATGACCTGGAATCTCACTTTGATTTGGGTAGCATTGTCTGGTAAGCAAATCGAACTCCCACTACCATAATTCTCGAGATGTTCCTCTTCACCGTTCACTTTATAATCAACAAGCATCTTGCAAGACCAACTTTCTCCAGAAATATAGTTTAATCTAATTCGTTCGTCTATTCTATCATCTCCTGTGACCTTCATCACAGCTTCATAATACAGGTTTCCATCCAAAGTGTACGTGCAACTCACTGGTGTGTCGTACTTGAAAATATGAGGCTGGGTTGGTTCTACCCAACATTTCTTGAAACGGTCGTACTCTTTCACATCAGACCAAATACCAGGAGGGCGCATGACTTCAAATCTAACGTTGATATTGGTAGCATTGTTTGGTAACATAATCGAGCTTCCACTACCATGAGCCTCATGAAATTTTACTTCACCGTCCTCTTCATAATTAACAAGCATCTTGGAAGACCAGCCTCTATTACAGAAATACTTTTGTTCAATTCGTTCGTCTATATCGTCATCTCTAGTGACTTTCATCACAGCTCCATAACACAATTTTCCAGCCAAAGTGTACGTGCAACTGACTGGTGTGTCGTACTTGAAAATATGAGGCCTGGTTGGTTTTAACCAAAATTTTTTGAAACGGTCGTATTCTTTCACATCAGACCAAACACCAGGAGCGCGCATGACTTGAAATTTAACTTCGATGTTGGTAGCATTGTCTGGTAAGCAAATCGAACTTCCACTACCATGACTCTCGCGATGTTTCTTTTTACCGTTCTCTTCATAATCAACAAGCATCCTGGAAGACCAACTTTCTCCAGTAATATACTTTAATCTTATTCGTTCGTCTATTATATCATCTCCAGAGACTTTCGTCACAGCTTCATAACAAAAGTTTCCATCCAAAGTGTACGTGCAACTCACTGGTGTGTTGTACTTGAAAATTTGAGGTTTGGTCGGTTCTACCCAACATTTTTTGAAACGGTCGTATTCTTTCACATCACACCAAACACCAGGAGCGCGCATGACTTGAAATCTAACTTCGATATTAGTGGCATTGGTTGGAATCAAAATCCAACTTCCACTACCATGACCCTCGTTATGTTTCTTTTCATCGTTCACTTGATATTCAACAAGCATTTTGGAAGACCAACTTCCTTTTGAAATATACTTGAATGTAATTTGTTCGCCCATATCATCATCTCCAGAGACGTTCGTTACGGCTACATGATTCACGTTTCTATCCAAAGTGTACGTGCAACTCACAGGTGTGTCGTACGTGAAAATATGAGGCTGCTTTACTGTTACCCAAAATTTCTTGAAACAGTCGTACTTTTTTACGTCACACCAAATACCAGGAGCGCGCATGACCTGAAATCTAACTTTAATATTGGTGGCATTGGTTGGTATCAAAATTGAACTTCCACTACCTTCGCCCTCGTAATTTTTCGGTTCACCGTTCTCTTCGTAATCAACAAGCATCTTGGTAGACCAACTTTCTCTAGAAATATACTTTAATCTTATTCGTTCGTCTATTATATCATCTCCAGAGACTTTCGTCACTTTTTCATAATACAGGTTTCCATCCAAAGTATACGTGCAACTAACTGGTGTGTCATACTCAAAAATATGAGGCTTGCTTGGTTTTACCCAACCTTTTTTGAAACGGTCGTATTCTTTCACATCAGACCAAATACCAGGAGAGCGCATGACCTGAAATCTCACTTTGATATTGGTAGCATTAGTTGGTAACACAATCAAACTTCCACTACCATAACCCTCGTTGTGATGTTTCTCTTCACCGTTCTCTTCATAATAATCAACAAGCATCTTGGAAAACCAACTTCCTTCAGAAAAATACTGTAATTTAATTTTGTCTTCAACATTATCATCTCCAGAAACTTTCATCACAGCTTCATAATGCAAGTTTCCACCCAAAGTATACGTGCAACTCACTGGTGTGTCGTACTCAAAAATATGAGTCCTGGTTGGTTTTACCCAACATTTCTTGAAACGGTCGTATTCTTTCACATCAGACCAAACACCAGGAAAACGCATGACCTGGAATCTAACTTGGATTTTGGTGGCATTGGTTGGTATCAAAATTGAACTTCCTCCACCATGAGCCTCGTCATTTTTCGGTTTACCGTTCTCTTCATAATCAATAAGCATCTTGGAAGACCAACTTTCTCTAGAAATATACTTTAATCTTATTCGTTTGTCTATTATATCATCTCCAGAGACTTTCGTCACTTTTTCATAACACAGGTTTCCATCCAAAGTATACGTGCAACTCACTGGTGTGTCGTACTGAAAAATATGAGTCCTGGTTGGTTTTACCCAACATTTCTTGAAACGGTCGTATTCTTTCACATCAGACCAAACACCAGGAAAACGCATGACCTGGAATCTAACTTGGATTTTGGTGGCATTGGTTGGTATCAAAATTGAACTTCCTCCACCATGAGCCTCGCCATTTTCCAGTTTACCGTTCTCTTCATAATCAACAAGCATCTTGGAAGACCAACTTTCTCTAGAAATATACTTTAATCTTATTCGTTTGTCTATTATATCATCTCCAGAGACTTTCGTCACTTTTTCATAACACAGGTTTCCATCCAAAGTATACGTGCAACTCACTGGTGTGTCGTACTCAAAAATATGAGTCCTGGTTGGTTTTACCCAACATTTTTTGAAACGGTCGTATTCTTTCACATCAGACCAAACACCAGGAAAACGCATGACTTGAAATTTAACTTTGATTTTGGTAGCATTGGTTGGTAACCAAATCGAACTTCCACTACCATGAGCCTCGTCAAGTCTCTTTTCACCGTTCTCTTCATAATCAACAACCATCTTGGAAAACCAACTTCCTTCAGAAAAATACTGTAATTTAATTTTTTCTTCAACATCATCATCTCCAGAAACTTTCATCACAGCTTCATAATGCAAGTTTCCACCCAAAGTATACGTGCAACTCACTGGTGTGTCGTACTCAAAAATATGAGTCCTGGTTGGTTTTATCCAACATTTCGTGAAACGGTCGTATTCTTTCACATCAGACCAAACACCAGGAAAACGCATGACCTGGAATCTAACTTGGATTTTGGTAGCATTGGTTGGTATCAAAATTGAACTTCCTCTACCATGAGCCTCGTGATGTTTCTCTTCACCGTTCTCTTCATAATCAACAAGCATCTTGGAAGACCAACTTTCTCTAGAAATATACCTTAATCTTATTCGTTCGTCTATTATATCATCTCCAAAGACTTTCGTCACTTTTTCATAATACAGGTTCCCATCCAAAGTATACGTGCAACTCACTGGTGTGTTATACTCAAAAATATGAGTCCTGGTTGGTTTTACCCAACATTTCTTGAAACGGTCGTATTCTTTCACATCAGACCAAACACCAGGAGCACGCATGACCTGGAATCTCACTTTGATTTGGGTAGCATTAGTTGGTAAGCAAATCGAACTTCCACTTCCATAACTCTCGCGATGTTTCTTTTTATCGTTTACATTATAATCAACAAGCATCTTGGAAGACCAACTTTCTCCAGTAATATAGTTTAATCTAATTCGTTCGTCTATTATATCATCTCCAGAGACTTTCGTTACGGCTGCATCATTCAAGCCTCCAGTCAAAGTGTACGTGCAACTGGCTGGTTTTCCGTACTTGAAAATATGAGGCTTGGTTGGTTCTACCCAACATTTCTTGAAACGGTCGTACTCTTTCACATCAGACCAAATACCAGGAAAGCGCATGACTTGAAATCTAACGTTGATATTGGTAGCATTGTTTGGTAACACAATCGAGCTTCCACTACCATGAGCCTGATGAAATTTTACTTTACCATCCTCTTCATAATCAACAAGCATCTTGGAAGACCAGCCTCCATTACAGAAATACTTTTGTTCAATTCGTTCGTCTATATCATCATCTCTAGAGACTTTCATCACAGCTTCATAACACAATTTTCCAGCCAAAGTGTAAGTGCAACTCACTGGTTTGTCGTACACGAAAATATGAGGCTTGGTTGGTTTTATCCAACTTTTTTTGAAACGGTCGTACTCTTTCACATCAGACCAAACACCAGGAGCGCGCATGACTTGAAATCTAACTTTGATTTTAGTAGCATTGTCTGGTATCACAATCAAACTTCCACTTCCCTTAACTTGAACATGTTTCTCTTCACCGTTCTCTTCATAGTCAACAAGCATCTTGGATAACCAATTTTCTTTAGAAATATACTTTAGTTTCCCAGGTTTCGTCAACTTATCATTATCACTTGCACTTTCCTCGTCAGAAGATAGAGTTTGTTTCACCGGGCCATCAGTATCACTTGTTTTCTCCCCATGAGAAGATAGAGTTTGCTTCGTGGGGTCCCAATTATCACTTGTTTTTTCCTCATGAGAAGATAGAGTTTGTTTCATTGTGCCAAGATGATATTCAGTCAAGGTATTGTATTTTGGTAGATGATTATCATCTATATTATCATAACGTTCTAAACTAACGTTCTTTACAACTTCATGATACAATTTTCCAGCCAAAGTATACGTGAGACTCCTTGGTTTGTTGTACTCGAAAATATGAGTCTGGATTGGTTTTTCCCAATGATCATCAGCAAAGTTGTACTTTTTCACGTCACACCAAACACCAGGCCCGCGCATGACTTGAAAGCGAACTTTAATGTTGGTTGCATTGCTTGGAATCCAAATCAAACTTCCACTGCCTTTTCCCTCGCAGTGTTTCTTTTCACCGTCCTTTTCATAATCAACAAGCATCTTGGACAACCAGCTTCCTTCAGAAATATATTTCAGTCCGAAATGTTTCACTTTTCCTTCGCCATTCGCTTCTTTTGTTTCATTATTAGAATCATCACCTTCTTTACCAACACCATTGCTTGCTGTTGCATCGATTCCTTCTTTTCTGCCGAATTTTGCAGATTTTGCTGTATTATGGGGACCCTTTACGTCTGGTGTTGGATTTACTATGTTTTCTTCATTTTCTTCATTTTCTTCATTCTGGTTGTTAGATTCGTCATTTATTCTCGTCGTCTTTCCCCCCTCGAAACCTTTCTTCGCGGCTTTAGCTACAAATATTGCTGAATTCTTCCCAACAGCCATTGCAGCTTTCTTAGCAGCACATTTTATGTGACTCACAATAGCTTTATTTTCCACGTCGTGATTAAGCCTCTCCTCGAGAACATCAGTGAAAGTTTTCGTTGCTATTGTTGTTAGTTCTTCAACACTGTTTCGTGCATCAGTGGAAATTGTTTCAATCGCTGATAGTGCTTCCTCCGCAGTAACCACGTCTTGGAGCATGTTTTCTGTCAGTCCTCCAGGTACACCAGCAATCCCTCCCAGCAAAGCATCAAATAAAATATGTAAGATAAATTGTTTCCAAGTAGTTTTCGGTCCACCTGCAAGGATTGCGTCCAGATTATTCGTAAGAGATGTGATGAAGCCACGAAAAGCTGTGGTAACCATCCTCATAGAAATTTGCTTTTCGAGAGAAAGTTGAGCGGCTTTAAACGCAAGCTTTGCTGCTCCACCCAAAATCCCTGCGATCCCAGCGATCCCTGCTCCTATGACTGCTCCACCAACAGCACCAACGACCAAACTTATGAGGTAGTCACGAAAAGAGCAACCATGTTCTACCGATTGTCGGGTTATTGTCCGCAAGCCACTTGAGATCCCTGCTCCCATGAGGGATGCGGTTACCACCCCAAGTACTGCGGGTGCGGCCATTCCGGCAGTTAGGAATGTTAAACCAGCGCCTCCTGCTACGAAAAGAACTGATAAAAACGACAATCCTATTCTTTTTTTATTCCATCTTCTTTTAAATGGTCTCGCTCGATCAGGGCGGTACGATTTAGGCTTGAATAAAGCTTTCACCTGTGACAAGCCTCCTTCGTCGAAATCTACGATATTATTATACGCAGCACGCGTGTTTGGATCTTTAAGAATACTGTAGGCATTGATGATTTCTTGGCATATTGCGTTGTCACCATTCTCAGGATTTTTGTCAGGATGCCAACGCCGCAGTTGGGAATGATAAGCTTCCTTTATGATACGGTTTTGTTCTTCAAAGGAGTTCATGCGCATTTCTTTCATAGTGAGCCCCAGGACTTGGTACAGGTTCTTTGTTCCAGACGCAGAAACATCTTTTTTCATGTTTTGTCGCCGCATACAAATTTGCTTATCTTTTAGCTCTATCTCTTTATCGTCCACCTTTGGTTCATGATTACCACTGACACAAAGCATAATATCTTTTTCCCACATCCTTATAGGCTCGATAGTTTTCATATTTTTCCCATCAACGCGAGCTGTGAGCTCAAATCGAAAGACTTCTTCACTTTGGAACAGGTAACTTTCACCTCGATCAACAATTATACTCTCAGATAAAAAATGGCGTTTAGTAAATTTTTTAGGGATATACAACGTGACGTCATGGGCAGATCTGTTGCAAACCAGGATCGACTTGATCAATTTTTCACCCTAAAAAGTCATCAAAAATGCTGTGATATAAACTAACGGATATGTGGGAAGACGTCGAGATTAGATTGATTTACGGTTAAGATATAATATTGAAGATAATATTAATAAGTTCTGTACACTTTAAAAAATATCACCCCAAGGAAGGAAGAAAATAGCAGCATATGCTAGCTGTACTCTTAACCTAATTACGCTTTTCCCGTACAAAAATGCTCCACTACCCAAACAATACCCAATTTATTATGTGTCTTGTTTGTGTTTATACCAATTGAGGACAAATTAATCTTACATCTGCACTATTCATGTATTAATGTATATTATAATATAACATTTATAGTACTCGCGTGCTGATTGGTCGAGAAGCGTGTTCTATAACTGTATAGAATAACACGGGAATTCTCCCGTCGAACTTGACATTTTTTCCTGTGTTTCTATACAGTTATAGAAACACTTGTGGGAGTTTGAGAGAACTCGAAATAACGTGGAAATTGGTTACTTTTCGTTTTCCCAAACTCCCACGCGTGTTTCTATAACTGTATAGAAACACGGAAAATATTTTCAATTTCTTAAATGATAAACGTAGTCGTAGAAACTATCGTGATGACAGAAACTAACGCACACAAATTCGTCCGAATAGAGCTCGAGTGCTCAATGCTTGCGCAGAGCGATATAACACGAGATGAGAAACAAGAGTTACTTCATCGAAATTTATTTTGTAAAAATTTTTGATTGTATCACTTTTGTCCAATCGTCCAATTTTGACGTACGAACAAGATGACTACATGAGGTGATTTGTTGTCAACCAGAATTGACTTCAAATGTTTAGCCTATATTGAGAGGTGTTATAATATCTAATAACATATATTTTGTTGCACATGCATTAGCATATATTGTAAAAGCTAAGAACGGTTTATCTGCATATACAGCATTTAGATATCTATAGAAAGTAAAAGTTGGGGGTTCAGTAGCTACATGTTTTATGGTTCTTTTTCAAACAAAGAACGTAGAAACAAAATTTGACAAGAAAGGCACCTATTTTTCAGGTTTTAAAAAATAATTTCTTTATGAGACCCGAAATAAGTATAAAAGAAGGCATGGTCAGGGCTTGTCTAGTGTAAACAAAGGTTTTAGAGCACGCAACAACAAAACTACATTTATGTCAAAAATATTTATGTAATTTTGAAAGTTCACTAAAGTGTCGAGCAAGCACAATGCATGTAGGCTTTTTGCACGAAGCTTGCTTGACCCTAGCCTGCAACGCAGACTATATATTGGGGTATATATAGTCTGCTAATCAGCGGCACAAAGCTTGTATGGTCACGTGAGTTTCCCGAGAAATTGTGGGATTCATTTTGATTGGTTTGCTTATAATTATGCAAAATAATCAAAATTTCAGAATATTTATTATTTTCACAAACAACTTGGCGTCCTTCATCGAACCATCTTTGCTTGAAGAAGAGCACTTTTCGGAAGCTATTCGGATTGTATGCTGTTTTTTTCAAGTGGAAAGTCAAACGAGGTGTCTCGACAGATGTTACAGGTGGGCTTACGTAAACTGGCGCAAGCGTTCGAGGTTCCCTTTGCTCTGTGTTTGCCTCTTTGTTGAAATCGTCTGGTAGAGAACGCTTCGACGGGTGCTTCATCTTCACTGTTACACTATTCGCTCGGGCTTTAGCTAGGTAGTCATCCTTTAGCTTTTGATTCAGATTCGCCGGCTTTTGACGATGCGTGATTCTTTAAGAAACCAGACTGAGACATAGCCGACAAATATGTCTGGACAACGAAATCCAAATCTTCTAGTTCGGCCGCAATGTCGAGAGAACGCTTTCCTATTACGAGATTTATATCTGACTTCTTTTCCAGCACAGAGAAACACAGCACGCATATCAGCGCGGCCATGTTGTCACAAATAATTATGCAATTTGCGCGCAAATCATATACATAATCATAATTATGATAATAGCAGACTATATATACCCCAATATATAGTCTGCGTTGCAGGCTAGCTTGACCCTTAATTCAAAAATATTTCTACGCCAAAAAGGTGTCTGCATGAACTATATATAGTTACAACTAGTCACAAAATGTTCTGTTGCCGTGAAACAAAATAACCTGCACTGAACTACTTGGAAAAATTCAAATATACCTCGGCCATGATATGGAATCAATATGTATGTTGTTTGTTTTTTGCTTCATCTGCCATAGTTGATCTACAGTATTTTATAGAAACAAAACACGTCAGCGTTACATGGATTAAAAATCACAAGTTGTTAGTGGTAAATGAAAAAAGGACAGAACAATGTCAGTGTTTCACCCTATACGAATATGTCCTCAACAGTGTTGTTCAAAATATAGAATTAACTTGCTGATTTTTGACTTGTCATCAGTGTCATTCTGCATACAGATATACACAAACTATATATAAAATTTGCAGTTATATATTAATATTTCATACCTAAAGGCTAAAAAGAAACTAATTACATACTTCATGGAATCATGCATATATGCAAATATTATTGAGAATTGCTCTGCATGATGCCCTAACAACACCCCCAGCGTATGTCAAAGTGAAAGTAAAACTACTCGTATACATTGTTATATTGTCAAGCATATTAACGCCGACAATTTCACTATAACGTTTGCTTAAATTGCGTTGGTTTTTGTGAAAAATCACAATCTATATATGCAAGCTTGTTTTTATACCTATAATCGAAAAAAAAAACATTAATTGCCGCCTGTTTCAAAGCTCAAATCTTGGGTTTATATAAATAAAATGTCATTCCATGGTGATTCTTTAATATTCTGTTTGCTTCAATATTATCAGTATTATATCAATATTGCCTATAAAGATGTCGTTTTACAAAACACAGTCTTTGAATAAAAATGTTTCGCAGCCCGTGTAAAGATGATAATGACTTAGTGTAACATTCAACAGCAAAATAAATATATCTAAACAATCTTGTATCGGTAGTAGGTACTTACAAATATTACAGCTGTTGTGTTGACCAACGTCGTCGAAAATAAAATGACCCCATACTTGCGACGAACAACACTTTTACCACGTCTTTTGCTAAAATACAGTTTTCAAAATAAATATAAGTCTTTGGCAATGTATACTTTGTTGAAAATTAATAAATTTGCTGTTGCATATATTCAAATCAGTATATCTAATTTTATAGTCATCAAACTTTTGCTAAACGAAAAGTCTACTCGTATTACGCGGGGTCATATTTCTCTAGATTTGCCGCAATATAAGAGGACATTTTGTAGTTTTTTGCTTCTTGCCGTTTCTGCATGCCGGCTATTCATGAGTTTCCATTGGAATATTGAAATATAGGTTATGGGTCGTGTTTTGAATATATTTTCACGGCAATTGGAGTTAATTAAAGCTCGTCATTTTTTAGTTGTTTTGGATCAACTGCGCAATATTTTACTAATGTTTACTATTACGCGCGCTGGGTAGACTCGGGGATTGGACGTGAGCACGAACTGCGCAGGTCTATGACTATAGTTTCCGCCAAATTTGAATAGAGCGCAAAATTTGCAACATTCTGATAGTAAATTGTTTAATAAAATATCGAGTTTAGGCTCGTCAAAATGGCCTGGGAGTTTGGGGTATATTTTGTCCTTATTCTCGCTGTCGCTGTGCAGATAGCGGCGGCTATAAACGAAAACGGCGCAGAAATTTCGATGGACAAATCGTCCCGGTTTGTGTATTGTATAAGCAAGTAAGTCAACCGCAATAAAGCTTCCTTTTAACTTCGGTATACAGTTTATGTTTAAAAATTCCGCCCTTTGCTCGAGGGAGTCGTCGTTAGGTATTGGCAACTCGCGAGAAACATTTTGAAAGTACAGCTATTTCTTCTTAAACCAAGTTATATAATTTCACTACAGGATCATTTTAAAGAGCATTTCGGTGTACTACACAAATATATAACGGTAAATCCTTACGAGAAGTAAATGCATGGAACAGGCATTTCTATAATATTGTGATGTGAGTTGCCATGCAAGAAAGCTGAAAAATTCGCTTTATCACGGCTTTTCAGCTTGCCGGTTCGTTATACCCAGAGCACTGACACAATTACAACACCTGAGTCATCGAAAATATTAAACGGTTTGTTTGGATAGAAGAATGTCGTCCTTGACTTATAGGAGCATCTCAAGCGCCCAGTGTCAATGACCTGATTTCTAGACGTTCAGGCTTATATATTATTGGTGTCATTTGAAAAAAATACCCTCTGACTCTGTCGATACGACTTCTTCCAAGAGGTTTCACCTCACGGAGAACAGCTTGAAAACTATCGTATATGCGTACAAGTGAATGTTGGTTATACAAACCTTTTATCTGGAAGATGTTTTAGTAAAACAACGACGTCGCAATCAGCAAATGCAGTATACTGAGTATAGTGGGCGTATATGTGAACGAAATCGAATAAAGAGAGCCATAAGCTGAGATGACGTTCTATAAAAAGGAATTTCTCAACTGAATCAAAATGTTTGGTAAAATGCAGGGCTTAATTGATGTAATAAATTATTAAATAGAGAGGGGAATCAGTTTATCAAATGTACAAACATCTTTTATCCTACGTCAAACGACGGTTTAATACATGTTGAATTTGTACTTACATAGCCGCTGTGTTGATCAACCTTTTCAAACCAGATTTAAGCAGTGCTATATGAATAAAGAATGAGGAAATGCTCTATACAGGGTGTATCAAAAAAAAGGTAATCCAACTTTGGTGCGCTATTGTACGTGAACTACTTGTTCTATTAACGAATTTTTTTCACATTCCGAAAGGTTATGCTTTTAACTATCGAATGACATGTTTTTGATACCAAATGGTGAAAAAATGAGCAAATAGGAGACTGATAAAAAGTGTTAGTCGAAATCGCATATTTTCACCTCTGAGAGTTGGGACTAAAACCATTGAAAATTAACTCTCTTTAGGACTTAATTGAAGAATTTTGCTTTTGAATAAACTACCCGCATATGCATATTAAGTAGGAATAAGGAGAACATTCCAAGCAATGCGGCATAAAACCAGTGCAAGCTGTGACATGTTCATGATTAATTGTTTTTTTCTTTTGTTATGCACTGCTTTAATTAGGCTCAAAGGTGAAAATATGCGATTGCGACTAACATTTTTTATCAGCCTCGTATGTGCTCACTTTTTCACCATTTGGTATTAAAAACATGTCATCCGATAGTTAAAAGCCTGATCTTTCTGAATGTGAAAACAATTCGCTCATAGACTGAGTAGTTCACGTACAATAGCTTGTTGAAGTTGGATTACCTTTTTTTTGATACACCCTGTATATTCTATAATTGTATATTTTGAAAAAATGAATAGCAAACATGCAACTAACTTATGCAGTCAGTAAAGATATAAAAGTCGCTATAGTGATCAACTCGATCATTGATATTGATTGTTAAGATTCTAGCGGTTCAGAGATCAGGCAAAGAAAATCGAATGCACGTAAAGAAAATACTTACGCTTTGTTGTGTTAACCAAGTCTCAACAGTATTTGAATGCAAACTGAAAAGTTATATAATATGTCGTTAAGCACCTGCAGAGCAACTATTTATCTGATTCAATTGATTTTCAATTGCTCACCGCCGTGACGTCCAGCTCCGACAGAGTCTTGTTTGTTCAAGTTGTCAACATTCAAATAAAGGATCAGAGTCTTTTTCACCAAATATAGATTTCCATTGTCTACAGTATGCTTTGCGGCATATGTTGGTCAAATTAAGAAATATTAAAATTTCAATGTTTGTTGAAATTATATATCACTTTCAGTTTCATACTAGTTTCCAGGTGATCTCGCGCTCATATTTTAGCCAATCAGCAGTCAGAAGGGTTGTCACAACACATAACCATCCTGCAGTGTTTATTGCAGTGTTTATAGATTATATTACAGACAATGCAATATTGTGTATGAAATGACTGTCTCGTTCTACAAGGTATAATATACCTGTGAAAGAAATTGCTGTGAGATAAACTTTATAATGAGAATTGCCTATAAGACTAAAGGACTCGTTCACAGCTAGTTTGTGTGCTAGGTGGTTACCTTAAAGTGTAAAAAGTCATCGTAACTAATTACGGAGATCAGCTATCTTTTTTATCAACTGTGACATTCTTAATTTCGTCAAATCCTATTTCTTAATTAGTCTGGTAAATCCTTTCAAACTTCGCTCACATCATCAAAATGTTCATCCGTGATCTTCATCACAGCTTCATAATACAAGCCTCCATCCAAAGTGTACGTGCGACTCACTGGTGATCTGTACTTGAAGATATGAGGCTTGGTTGGTTTTTCCCAACATTTTTCGAAACGGTCGTACTTTTTTACATCACACCAAACACCAGGCCCGCGCATGACTTTGAAACTAACTTCGATATTAGCGGCATCCTTTGGTATTAGAATAGAATTTTCGCTATCTTCGACCTCATGATGTTTTCTTTCATCGTTCTGGTCGTAATCAACAATCATCTTAGAAAACTGACTATCAGTTCAAATGCCAGCCTTTTTTGAAGACCGAAAATTGCCCATTAAACGCGCAACAGAGTGTCACAAATTGAGTTTTTATGACTTTTAAAAAATGAGGCTTTAATAAAAACATCGAATGCTTGAATGCGTTTAATTTAAATCCCTTTTTTGTTTGAAGTTTCAAATTATTTATACTTTTCCCATCAGCAATATCTAATTTCATCATTTCGCTTTATATGACGAGAAAAACTGTTGTAATAAACTGATATTGCTGTTGTTGTTGGAGGGTAATTTGCCGCGTGATTTAGTACAATTTGTGTCTTGAGCAAAAGCGTTTGTGCGTAAGAGCAGATGATTATGCTTCATTGCCTTTTTTGGTAATCGATTTTTATGGATTTTCGTGTCGGATTGAGCTGGCAATACCAAAAATTAGCAGCAATATGCGTCACTCTCGCCCTCACAAAAAACCCTCATAACAACGAAAGTTTTGCATTGCTAAGACCCGGCATTTGATCTCATGCAAAAGTCGAAGCGCTCAAGAAAATGTATTTCAGATCGCCATAGTTCTTCTCACCGACAAAATTTGAAATCGAAATTTGTAAAATCAGCTGGCTCAGTCGAGCCCACATGACAAAAAATAAAAAACAGATGACTTCTTTCGCAACGAGATACGCTAACTCTACTGCCGTTTCGTTTAACAATACTTTGTTATTGATGGAATAGTCATGCCTGTTGATCTATGTTATATATATATATAACTAGCTGGCCTTTGGCCTACATGTTACAGTAACATCTTTCCCTGTTAAATAAAACGCAGACAGCTGGTAATCGTTTCCCCGTTATGATGGGCGTTAAAATGTTTGAAAAAGAAAAAAAACGTTTGCTATTGCATCAGCATATATCAGTCCTCTTCGTCTATATTATGTATATCAATGAGTGCAGTTGTGTTATTTCGGGTCTGGTTCTCATATGTCTCCGACAGTACGCGATAGCTATTGTCGATGATTACTAGAGAATGAAATGCTTTGTTATATTGAATACATTCATTTGACATACGCAGAGATATACGTTACGAAAATGTAAAGACATCTTGTGGTGTGGTTTATCTCTTTAAATTTCGTATGTTTCGTCATGATATTCATTTGTGATCTTCTTCACTTTTTCATAATACAACTTTCCATCCAACGTGTAAGTGCGACTCACTGGTGTCTGATACTCAAAGATATGGGGCTGGCATTCTTCCTTGCTTTTTACCCAGTCGTATGATTTTACCCATTCTTTTTTGAAGCGGTCGTACTTTTTCACATCACACCAAAAACTAGGAAAGCGCATGACCTGAAATCTAACTTTGATATTTGTAGCGTTTCTTGGTATGAGAATCGAGCTTTCGCTGTCTTTAACCTCGCAATGTTTTTCTTCACCATCCTCTTCATAATCAACAACCATCTTGGAAAACCAATTTCCTTCAGAAATATACTTTAGTCTATGATTCACCGCGTGGCTCGGAAAATCATAATCGCCATACTCATAATAATCACCATAATAATTACAATGATAACGAACATCGTGATCATCATGACCACCACCAATACCACCACCACCACTACCACCACGACTACCACTACCACCACTACTACCACCACCACCACCACCACTACCACTACCACCACTACTACCACCACTACCACCACCACTACCACTACCACCACTACTACCACCACCACCACCACCACCACCATCATCATCATTACGATCATCATCATCATCATCATCATCATCATCATCATCATCATCATCATCATCATCATCATCATCATCATCATCATCATCATCATCATCATCATCATCATCATCATCATCATCATCATCATCATCATCATCATCATCATCATCATCATCGTCGTCATCATCATCATCATCATCACTCTCGCTGTCTTTAACCTCGCGATGTTTTTTTTTACCACCGTCCTCTTCATATTCAAATCTTGGAAACATCTTGGAAAACCAATCACCATCATCATCATCATCATTTCATCATCATCATCATCATCATCATCATCATCATCATCTCATCATCTCATCATCATCTCATCATCATCATCATCTCATCATCATCATCATCATCATCATCATCATCATCATCATCATCATCATCATCATCATCATCATCATCATCATCATCATCATCATCATCGTCGTCATTATCGTTATCATCATCATCACCGTCATCATCGTCGTAGTCATCGTCACCACCATCACCATCATTTCTAATACTTAGAACTAAGGCTTTCGACACAATACTTCCCATGCGCTTGCTAACGGCTTTTGCTGCTTTTCCTGCAGCTTTTTTCAAATGATCCACTATGGATTTATTTCCAACATTTTCATCAAAACGCTCCTCGACACATTCAGCAAATGCTGTCACTGCAACTGCTGCTGTATCGTCAACAATATGACATGCGTCAGAGGAAAATGTCTCAAACGCTGCTAATGCTCCATCGCTGCAAACTGCGCCTTCTAGCAAGTTTTCTGCCAGCCCCCCCGGTACACCAGCAATTCCTCCCAGAAAAGCATCAAGGAGGATACGTAAAACGAATTGTTTCCCGTCAGGTTTTGGACCACATGCAAGGATTGTGCTCATATTATTTGTAAGAGATGCGATAAAACCACGAAAAGCTCCGGTGACCATCCTCGAACTAATTTGCCGTTCCAGAGAACTTTCCGCAAGTTCCAATGCAACATTTGCTGCTCCACTAAAACACGCGGTAATTCCAGCCACTCCCACATTCATAGCTGCTCCACCCACAGCACCAACCACAAAACTGGTAAAGTATTTTTTTAAGGAGCAACCTTTCTCTATCGCTTCACGATTTATTGTTTGTAATCCACTTGAAATTCCACCTCCCACAAGAGCCCCTGATGCAGCCACCATCCCAGCCACAACGGGTCCAGTCATCCCCGCTGTTACGAATGTTAAACCAACGCCCGCAGTTACAAAGACACCGGAAAGAATCAACAATCCGATTCTCTTTCGAAATTGTTTCTTCTGTTCATCGCTGTAACATTCTGGCTTAAATACTGCCCTCCATCGCGCCTTCCATCCTTTGTCATGATCTGCGGCATTATTATACGCAGCTCGTTTTTCGGGATCTTTGAGAATCTTGTACGCGAGGATGATATCTTGACAAATAGTTTCATCACCATTCTCAGGATTCTTGTCAGGATGCCAACGCAGAAGTTGAGAATGATAAGCTTTCTTTATCATCTTGGTCTGTTCCTCAATGGATTTCTTACGAACTTCTTTCATATCGAGGCCCAGGATTTCGTACAGGTTCTTGTTTCCTGACGCTGAAACTTCTTCTTCCATATTTTCTCGACGTAAACAAATTTGTTTGTCTTTGAACGGCAAATCCTCATTTCTCACATTAATTTCATCATCGCCGCTAACTCGAAGCAACATATCTCTTTCCCACATCAATGGACCCCATATAGTAATTTCCTTTTTTTGAGGGCGTGCTGTGAGCTCGAATCGAAAAGCTGTATCTTTATGAAATAAAAAGTTTTCACCTTTTGCCACAATTAAACTCTCCGAAAAAGAATGACTATTAGTCCAACTTGGAAGGATGTAGAAGGTGACCGCATGAGGTGACTTGTTGTCAATCAGAATCGACTTCAAATGTCCGCCCTATATTGAGAAGTGTTATGATATCCAGTAAAATAAAGATGTTGATGCACGAGCATGCATTATTGGTTGAAAAGTCAAGCGTATTTTGATATTTCTAAACGTATCACTGAATTCAACAAAAATTGTCCGCATATCGATACATTTCGATAAAAATTTTCCACACTTTGCCATGCACATTTAAATGTTTCTGGGGGGTTTGGTGAAAAGTAAATTGAAAAACTTATATATATATATATATATATATATACATAGCTCGGTTACTGGAAAGAGTTTCCTAGTCCCACATCAGCCCATGTTACATGAGCCCGGTTCAACGAAGCGTGAGATGATTTTGAGGTATTGAAATGAGCAGATAACGTGATCTTGGCAGTCGCATAATCACCACAATAATCGCCGAGTGGCGGCCGGATCACTTCCGGCTTCACTTTTGCCTCTATAGATTCGTTATCCAGTCTTATTTCAGATCAGTGGTTTGGTGTCATAAAGACTTATTTCAATACCTCAAAGTCCTCTGACGCTTCGTTGAATCTCGGGTAAACGGGCTCATGTAAACAGCCCCTACGTATATGGTATCAGCAAAAACAACGCGTTTGAACGCATGACATGCATCTACGAGAAGCTTGCTTATATTGATTCTTCACTCAAAATATTTTACATTTCGATCCTGCCTCTAAATGCGCTTAAACAGTGGTCAAAACTAGTGTATGTAGGCCTACATATAAATCTACACTAAACTTTCTCAACAATTCATACCTCGGCCATGATATAGAATTAAGCAAAACCTTTAATATCCTCAAACTGATCAAAAGCCTTTTCACTTGTTTTGTTGCTTTATCTTCCAGCGGCAAATCTACACATGCATAAAAAACACGTATAGCGTTGGATAACAACAGCGTAGAGTATTAATGATCGATCAAGTTCGATATATATATATATAGCCCAGCATTTTTCGGCATTCTTTTCGCATCAAACTTGTAGTTTAGGCGTGAAAATGCAGGTTATAACAGAATAAAAAGACTGACTGCATTACTATTAGACTAAGAAAATTAGTATATATAATGGTTTTTATTAATAAATTACACTCATGCATGCAGTCTATACCAAATCAAATTCTAGGAGTGCTAATTACTAGGAGGAATTCAACGTTTGTGATGGTGTGCGTTTGCGTGGTGCACTGATAATAATCACACCTGCATTTTTGTGCAAATATTAATTGCATAAAAACTGCCCTGCCGGATGCCATCAAAACATTCGATGTCAATGTCAATTCCGAAAGTGAAACTGCTCATGTTATATTGCGAAGTTATAAATACCATACATGCAGTTTCGCACCTAAAATAATCTTGTTTCTCCCTTACGAACAGCTATTGCAGCTCGCCTGAAAATATTCTACACGAGAAGAAATTAGGGACTAGCTTAAGAGTACATATTTGAAATCAAAACATTGATTAACTATATATATATATGGACAGTTTATAGTATACATGTCGCTATTCTTGCGCATTGTGCTCTCTTCCAACATATATTATAGCTATATATTTTTGAATATCTTGAAAAATAAACTCTCTCGATACGACTTCCTCCAAGAGGTTTCGTCTCATGGTGAACAGCTTGAAAACTATCGTATATGCGTACAAGTGAATGTTGGTTATACAAACCTTTTATCTGGAAGTTGTTTTAGTAAAGCAACGACGTCGTAATCAGCAAATCCAGTATAGTGATCGTATATGTGATCCGAATTGCCGTGAACGAATAAAGAGAGCCATAAGCTGAGATAACGTTCTATAAAAAGCAACTTTTGAACTGAATCAAAATGTTTAGTAATATGCAAGGCTTACATAATTGATGTAATAAAAGCCTGTGTGGACAAAAGGTATATCGTGTTTCAAGTTAGCGCGCTTTCAGCTGCGCGGCTGTACTATTTGACTCAAAATTCGTGGGGTTTTTCCTGCTCGTGCGTTGTGCGTAAAAAATGCATCTTAGTTACCAGCGGGATTTAAAAATTTCACTTTTGGTAATGCAATTTTCATACAAATTCATCTCGTTCTAGATCTGGACTTTGGGGTTTTTAAGTATGCCGCTATTATAGAATTTCACCGCTGAGTGACCTACTCAGGGCGGAAGTGAGAGGGAAACTGGAGCTAGCGCTGTTGCAATACATTGTGACGTGTATACGTAGTTACTTCCATTTTTGGAATCTACATGATTTGGCGATTTTGATACCAAATATGTATGAACATATTCAAAGCAAATTAAGAGTGGACCAATGGCTCTATATCTTCGGAGTTCGGTATTTCGGGGTTTTTTTTTCGATTTTGGTTTTGTTTAACTCATTCATTCATTCCGTCGAAGGGATAGAGCATGAATACGAACAAAGTACGCCTTTTCTACAGACTATAGTTCTTTCTTTTAATTACGAAATAAGCAAGTAGGTATTAAAATTATAAATTTTTGATGATTGTCCATATTAAAAGTTTAAAATATCTTTGTTCGGAGTTGTTCGGAGTTGATAAACACTCTGCGTCTATATTTCACTAATTTCAGCTTACTCATATATACTTTATCAAAAGAGAGGCAGCAAAAGAACGGAGAAATCTATGGCTATGAATCTTCTTTTAGTTGACGTGTTTACGCCGAGCCGGATGGCTTCAAAATTCGCTTCATGAATTCGCTTCGATCTCGATGCCTTCTTTGTTTATGGCCGCGCGGTATTGCTCTCAAAAGAGACTAGACTCTAGCTAGGGCAAATGTCCCAATTTGTACTACAAGAGTTTGATATTGAAATAGAGAGGGGAATCAGTTTATCAAATGTATACAAACATCTTTTATCCTACGTCAAACGACGGTTTAATACATGTTGAATTTGTACTTACATAGCCGCTGTGTTGGTCAACCTTTTCAAAACAGATTTAAGCAGTGCTATATGAATAAAGAATACGAAAAATGCTCCATATAATCTGTAATTGTATATTTTGAAAAAATGAATTAGCAAACATGCAACTAACGTACAGATATAGAAGCCGCTATAGTGATCAACTCGATCATTGACATTGTGAACAGATTCAAGCGGTTCAGAGATCAGGCAAAGAAAATCGAATGTACGTGAAGAAAGTACTTACTGAGATATCAAAGTTGTTGTGTTTAATAAGTCTCAAAGTCGTTGTGTTAACCTCCTTGTTAAGCCTTCTTGGAATTTCAACTGGAAAGTAGCTTCAAATATTGATATAATGTCGTTGAGCACCTGCAGAGCAACTATTTATCTGATTCAATTGATTTTCAATTGCGCACAGCCGTGATGTCTAGCTCTGACAGAGTTTTCTTTGTTCAAATTGTTAACATTCCAATAAAGGATCAAAGTCTTTTCACCAAATATAGACTTCCATTGTCTACAGTATGCTTTGCGGTAATGTTGGTCAAATTAAGAAAAATTAAAATTTTAATCTTTATTGAAATGATATATCACTTTCAGTTTCATACTAGTTTCCAGGTGATCTCGCGCGCATATTTTAGCCAATCAGCACTCAGAAGGGCTGTCACAACAGAAAACAATCTTGCAGTGTTTATTGCAGTGTTTATAGATTATATTACAGACAATGCAATATTGTGTATAAAATGACTGTCTCGTTCTACAAGGTATAATATACCTGTGAAAGAAATTGCTGTGGATAAACTTTATAATGGGAATTGCCTATAAGAATAAAGGACTCTCGTTCACAGCTAGTTTGTGTGCTATAGGTGTTTACCTTAAAGTGCAAAAAATCATCGTAGCTAATTACAGAGATCAATTATCTTTTTTATCAATTAACTGTGACATTCTTAATTTCGTCAAATCCTATTTCTTAATTAGTCTGGTAAATCCTTTCAAACTTCGTTCACATCATCAAAATGTTCATTCGTGATCTTCATCACAGCTTCATAATACAAGCCTCCAGCCAAAGTGAACGTGCGACTCACTGGTGATCTGTACTTGAAGATATGAGGCTGCGTTGGTTTTACCCAATATTTTTCGAAACGGTCATACTTTTTTACATCACACCAAACACCAGGCCCGCGCATGACTTTGAAGCTAACTTCGATATTAGCGGCATCCTTTGGTATTAGAATAGAATTTTCGCTATCTTCGACCTCAATATGTTTTCTTTCATCGTTCTGGTCATAATCAACAATCATCTTAGAAAACCAATGTCCTTTAGAAATATACTTCAGTCTATATTCCATGGACTCGTCACGATCATTACCCTTACGAAAAGAAAGGAACTCGTAAACAAAAATCTAATACCATAATACATACTTATTTATATGCACATGCACGATGCACGTACACCAAATGAAAGTCGCAGATCTGGATATAAACAATGGATGGTAATATTTAGTATTTAGGCAAAAATAGGAATTTTCCCACTCTGTTTTCAGGAATATTTTATGCCGGTATAATAAAGATCTATATAGGATTGGGTGAGAGGCACATTATTGAATAAAATACAATATATGTATATAAGATGGGTAATATATTTAGTTGTTATTGTGTATTGAAATATACATGGGTTATTCAAATATACATTTTCATCAGCGCAACCATTTTTACACAATATTGCACAGTTGTTGTGCATGTGTTCATACCTCAGCCATGCCGTGGAATCGAATGAACACACGGGAGTGAAATATCTTTCTGAATCTTTCCCACTTTCTTTTCAAAGTTTCATCTAAATATCGAAACACATCACAAATTGTAGAAGCATAACAAGTAAAATCTCAGCAGCCCGATCGTCTGGGGTGCGACGACGTCATGCAGTCACTAATAACCATTACCAATTGTATTCGTGATACAGGGTCTCTCAAAAAAAACAACACGAAATGAAATTACCAAACAATTAGCTTCATGACTGAATCCTTATGCGGCATGAAAAAGCAGTTACTCAGCTCCCCAATGATACCTTTCTTCAGTTCATAACAGTAACAAATTATCAAATATTTATGAAATGAAAACAGAAATAGGAATTCTTTCACTGTTAAAACGACGTTGACATTCGTACAGACTGATCAAACTAAAAGTGCTGAAACTTAAAGAATGATGCGAATATTGTTTAGTATCTAGATTTTTCGATGTATAATTATTCTCGTTCTTTTTGAGATATAATTAGCCGGATTGTAAAATTTGCGCAACTAATTATATCTAATCCTAAAGATATTTTATATCTTCAGTTTTTATTTACAAATATCGAAACCGCTGTGGCGATCAAACCACATTGAACCAGAATAAGGTTTATTTGAAACAAGAATTAGAATACTGTAGGAAACTAATTACATGCACTGTGGGAAAACTGATCGCCCAATCCTTCTCGAACAACTGCGATAAAGACGCGTATAGCCCTCTTTAGTTCAAACATATAAACAAACGATATATGCACATGAATGTAATATTTTATTGCAAGAAGAATACCCTCAGTATGTGGGTCTTTATTACGTCGCTGAATGTTTGTTATATAGACAAAATGTACTACAAATAAAACGGATTTAATTCTGATCTTTTAGATAAGCTCATGCAGAAACGTGTAGAAATATATATGGCCGATATATTATAATATATCATTCGCTGTTTGGCACGTAATTTCTTCCCCACCATGCATATCTATGTAGGGAGCTTGATTTCCTTTGATTAAAAGAATATTGTGTAATAAACATTTAAAATGCAAAAAATATACAAATATTATTAGCATACTGCATGCATGCATGTATGTATACTGTTTAAAAGTTGTTATCCAGTCATTGTATGTTAAACGAGGTAATCTCGGTGGTTCTACTAAAACTAAAAAGGATAGGTTATAACAAAATGGGATAAGATATACGTTTGCAATGCTATACGAATCTAGGCTAATGTTGATCTTGGATTATGCGGTTATGCTGGGTAATACAAGGTTTCACATCTTTAAGATGAACAAGCTCGGCATGTTTTATTAGTTCCTCTGTACTTTCTCTTAAATTTCGGCAATAATAGACATTTCCGCTAGACTCTGGATATACCATACAGAGATATGCGAATGGTATTTTTTCTTCGTCATATAGCAGATAAATTAAGGAACCTGAGTCACCTTTATCGGCAAATTTATTATTGCCAAATTTCTCAATTCTGTAACAGCGTTTGTTTCTAGGACAACGACGAACATCACGAAGTCCGACAAGTTTTCCTCGCCTAGGATTTCGAGAAACTTTTTCCACTGGCAATACCTTTTTGTCAAAAAACATTTTTCTGACATGTATTGAACTAGCCAGATCAGGACTGATTCGGATTCCGCTAAGAAACTCCACCATGCTTGAGCAATAATTAAAATCATTACTTAGCTCGATGAAGGCAATATCGTGGTAGTCGTTGTATAAGCCATAGCTAAACTTTGCAAGCTCAATTCTTCCCTTCTCTGATGTAAAGCGGCTGATAGCCCCATTCACAACCTTTCGATCCATTTTCGCAGTCCTCTCTAAGTGTTTTGTGGCCTTCTTTCACGTCAGAGCAATCTCCCTTGTAGCAAACATGATAGCAGGTGGTTGCATAGTGCTTTTCATCAGCAGCAAGTAGCACACCAATTGAACCATCACCGGAAAGTCTTTCACCTGGGACGGGTCCTCGTAGAAAAGAAGCTTCGTTGCTTTCACAATCTTCATCAATGTCGTCATAACGAAAATCAACAAACGAAGCAATGTTGACACCAAACAATTTCTTGAGGTCCTCCATCGATGGTAGTTTGTTTTATGCGCAGATTATGTAGATTTGCCAAGATTTTTCAGGTTCGCTGGCAACACCAATATAGTATTCTTCTACCCAGGGTAAACTGAGAAAAAGTGAAAAGGCGAATTTAGTAATTATTTTCTTCAATGGAAAATTAAAAACTTAACTGAGGTCCGCTACCTTAACAATTCATTCTCGTATTTACTATACAATTCAGAGTCTTCTTTAAAAAAATTCGATTCAAACCATTCAAGTTTTGAGCCTATACATAGTAGAATAAATAAAGGAAAGACATTGATGAACGATTGAAGGTTATAAATATGTACATAAATATATATATATATATATAACAAGGAACGTGTATCGTTGTATAAATTGAAAAAGGACGGATTGAACTTGATACATGCATGGCTCAGTATATTCACTATAGAACTTACATTCTCGATAAGTGATGAAAGGAAGAGCATCTTGCTCAAAATATTTTACTATGTCAGCGATACGAGGTGCTTCCCCAAGTTTCCAAACGATTTCTAAATGACGCTGGTCGCATTCTTCGTTTGGATCAACAATTTTGAAATCGTAAACCCATTCTAACCTTAATACAAAAACCAACAAGAATTATCAGCATAGGCGTACGAGACATAGGCCATTACTAGGTCGCAATTTCTATTCGAAAGTTGGGTCTTTCATTCGTCCGTCCTCTCCTGAAGAATTTAAGGCCTGTATGAGATGAAAGTTACTGAAAATACGTATAATGTAGTATTACCTTCTCAGGAAGTTTTCATAGCCAGGTTGCAAAAAGATTCGCTCCAATAGAAACTCAGTGTCTAAACCACAAAAGAACAAAAGTCATGTCATCACATGGTCTGTTTTGTTGCGTTTACCCTCAGCAACACAAGATTGCTAGATTAGAAGATTATTTTTCAGGCTCATTACTAATTATGGAGCCAATACTAAAATAAATTTCTTAATGTTTTGAAGTGAAAAAGAGTATACTATAGCGCTTAAAGTCGTGAGTTTCGGATATCACAAATATATACAGTACTGTCCAGAAGTAACCTAACACTGCGGTTGCAGTTCGGTCGCGGTTCGGCTGCGGTTCGGTTGCGGTCGCGTTCGACCGTTAGAAACCGCAGACGACCGCAAGGGAAAAAAATACGATCGCAGTTGCTGTTCGCGGAATTTTATGACCTGCTGAGAAAGACAACACAATAATTAAATAAAAAAACATTGTAAGAAATGTCTGTCAGACCACAGTCAGACTGAGGTTAGACCGAGGTTTGACCTAGGTTTACCGCGGTTTTCGTTAGGTTATTTTTGGAAAGTACTGCATTTATAGTCATTGTTTGAAAGGCTTTTTCCATTGTTTTGATTTAATTGATGCAGAAGTAGCTAGCTAAGTTGAGAAGTCCTGCTTAGCAACTCGCCTATTTGAAAAGCACTCGACATTTAAAACCAAGTATTTGAGCTAATAAAATGAGCCAGAAAATTAGACATGCGGGATGACATTGAACACCTTACAAATATAGACCTTATACCTTTTGCGAAATCAATCATAGGCATATCTTCTGATATCATCGTTTTTGAATTCTGTAAACATTCCAGCCAATCTAGAAACGATAGCTTTTCTGCTCTGTTTTCAACGACATGGTAGCTCTCTGGATCTTTAATGAACACTCCGTCATGACACGGGCTGACAGTTATCTTTATAACATAAAGCTCCTGAGCATCATTTTTTCCAAACTTTTTGGTTTCCTCATTAACACTTAGAAACTGGATATTCCAAAACTTGCTTTTATCGTCAACATGTTTCGGCCATGTCATGGATCCGATAGCCTTTTCGACTACTTTCTCAACGTCTTTCTTATCTGGAATTTTTTCTCCCAAAGCAAATCCTCTTGAATCAACACCATAGTACAATTCTCCGCCACGATAATTCGCCAGAGCGGACACGCACTGAAGTAGTTTGTTTTTCTCCAGTGTTATACGAGACTTCACACTGGCTGGACTATCGCTAAATTTTCTTTCCAAAGACCGAAACATAACGTTTTCTTTCGAGTGCTTGATCTGTAGTTTTTGACGTCCAATAATGTCGTGAAGTGCACTCTCTTGATATTTTCTTTTTGTTACCAGTAGTGACACTGGAGTTTGATTAGGATTGAATAAATAGGATCTAACCTCCTCAGCAGATTTTTTAGATGGCATGAGTTTTGCATCACCGTCTTCGGCAATGATGCACATGTTATATTTCACTGTGATGATTTCTTTGCTGCCGTTTACAAGGAATGCAATTTTGTTGGACAAATTATAGGATGAGAAATCTTTCTTTCCTGTGTCAGACAGCGTTTCATTTATCGCATTTGTAATAATATCGGAGCATTTTTTGACATCTGACTCGAAAAAAGTTCCCAAGAGGAAGATGGTTAGCATACCACCACCGGAATTACGCAAAGCACAAATTGAATTCAGAATTTGTCGCATTATCTTGTCTTCATAAGTACATTTCTCAATAGTAAACATTTTTACAAAGTTTGAAGGGTCGGATATCCGAAGTTTTAATTTGTTCCAAATTTCTTTTGATTCATTTTCAGTTGACGACATTTTGTTGATCTTCTTGTGATGAACTACAAGGTTTAAGCAATTTTACAAAAGAAGTCTTTTTCATCGGTTATTTGTTTAACTATAGTATAAATGTTAAATATAAAACTAAATATAATTTAAATGCTTTATAAAACTCTTATACCTACATTTTGAACAGTTATACCGTTGTTCACTACGAAAAAACATTCTCAGGATGGTTGCACACAAGGGTAGCTAACTTTTTTAGTGACAAGACAAGCTCAAGTTTGGCGAATTCTGTAACATATTATAGTTACTTATAGTTAACTACCTTCTGCATGTATACACCGCTCCTGGTGGCAAAACAGGTCATAAAATCCACAACGCATCATCATTCGGACTATATTTTTTTACTTGGGAGATAACGACTGGACAGGCGTAGTAGTCTCAGAATACTCTCCCAGTCTTAAGCTTTGTATAACTATTACCTACATCAACGCAGCAGCTGTTTTTTTACCAGCATCTGAGGTAACCCTATTGCATGTTCTTGCTGTTTGTGTCCGCTAGCTATATATTACATTTTCAATACAAAACCGTTCAAGTAGAAGCGAAGATAAAACGAAGAATAAAAGAGCATTGAAGATAAAACTTTAATATAAAATTTACTTCGTGTGGGTAATAAATGACTATCAACCTCGTAAACAACATTCAAAATGTTCATTCATCGTTGCGAAGAATGAATTTAATCCTCCCAGTATTGAATTTAATCTTGCTAGTATACTACAGCAATTACTACAATTATATTAATATATATACATGCACACTGCTGTCAATGACCTACCTTAAAACGACTTTTCAATGAACAACCAGTTTCACGCAGAATAGCTTCCATGCACACAACGCTTTGCTTGATAGCATCAACGACTGTAATTAACAAACAAAAAACCCACAAAAACAACGCTTGCATGGCTTTCGTTTTCCATAATTAATTATGCGTCATCTGCCCGGACGTTGAATTTCGAACGTGGCATGCATGTCACATTTTAAAAACATCTCATATTTATCGATGGGGACATAACTCTTGGCTGTGTATATATAATATATATATATTTATTGGGGAAAGGAGGCAAAAATTGTGTTAGAAAAAAGATTTGATACTGTTGGTATAGCAACGGAAATATATATACCTGCATTTTCTTTGCGATGATTGGTCATCGCTATACCGCTAAGATTTTCTATTTCCATCACCTGTGTAAGCTCAAGAAAACTTCATTAATAATATTACGATATACCTTATTCCGAATGCTTAAAACTTTGTGATCTCAGCATTTTATGGTTTTCGTTAATGGCCTCCAAAATAGCTGACGATGCTATTTATATGCTTGTACTTATATTTTTGGTCAAAATTCGGCAATGTGAGTGTTTCGTCCGTTTCACCAGCAGTTCGAGTTCAGAAAATCATTCCCAGACAGATCGCATTGATCAGCGAAAGACCCATTATCCCCAATCAGAATCACCGGTCTATCACTTTCCGTAAATACCCGGTGGAGGCTGACTCGTTGTATTCTAACATTGACAATTCCAGGAGGTATGGAGTACTGATATCTGAATTTCTACGCACCCTGAATGCTGCTAGTGAGATTACCAGAGCACAGTTCGCGATCGGTTGTTTGCCAATTTTTGGTTACCTCAAGAATCGATCAAAGCGGTCTTATATAAGCGCTATGTTACACGACTCCAATTCTTTGTATCTATTCAGACTCTTGGGAAGCAAAACTCACTATTTCCCTCGGGAGCATACATTAAGTGTATAATATAACAGTTGTAATAAACTGATATTGTTGCTGCTATTGGAGGGTAATTTGCCAGTAATTTAGTAAAACTTGTGCCTTGAAAAAAACGTTGTGCGTAAGAACAGATGATTGTACCTCATTGCCCTTTTTGGTAATCGATTTTTATGGATATTCGTGTCGGATTGAGCGGGTAATACCAAAAATTTGCGGCAATATGCGTCACTTTTGCCCTCACAAAAATCATTTGACAAAAAATCTCCTATAAAAACTAAAGTTTTGCATCGCTATGACCCGGCGTTTGACCTCATAGAAAAGCCTAAATCGAAGCGCACAAGAAAATGTATTTCAGATCACCATATATAGTTCTTCGCAACGACAAAATGTGAAATCAAAATTTGTAAATTCAGCCGGTTTAGTCGAGCTGATAAGACAAAACATGAGAAACAGGCATGAGTTATTCCACATTGAGATACGCCATTTCTACTGGCTTGTTCTACTGGCTTGCTTTTTTCATTAAAGTTTTCGAGTTACGAGTAACAAGTAATGTATGTTTAGTTTATTTCGTTTTCAAAAACGCCTAATATACAATAGGACATTACACTTACATTTCAAATGAAACTTTGAATTGCAAAAACTTTCCTACATTTGGACGCAAAGCTGTTGCACTATTTACAAGTATTATTTGCTAGTCCGAAATCATGCATGGTAGTTTCGTTCTGTTAAAATCTATCTTCGGTGAATCACCTCGGAATAATCTTATATAGACAAATACATTAAATTGTAATTTTGTTTTTGTAAATTACCTATGTATGCATTCCCATTCATTTTAAACGATGCAGCAACATGACATAATATCATCATTCAATGCATGATTTAACGAATCTAGGCTACCTTGCATTACACTAGCATATAATTTGCATTACTATATATTACTGGAAAAGTTTGGTACCCAAAATGAACTTAATTCCGCTAACTTGTGTCCTATATGAAGCTGGTTCGGTTTTTTGTTAGAATCCCACGGTCATACTATACTCTCTTACGTCACACTAAATACCAGAAAAGCACATGTTAGTAGCAAACATACGTTAGTTTGTTGGTGTCACCTCTTCTGTGGGTTTATCATTCGTTTTGGTTATCAATTCTTCGTAGCTTGGCAGGTAATTTTCGCCACCATCTACTGTGATATTGATTACAGCTTCATAATACAAGCTTCCAGCCAAAGTGTACGTGCAACTCACTGGTTTCTTGTACTTGAAGATATGAGGCTGGGCTGGTTTCACCCAACGGTCGTTAAAAAAATCATACTTTTTTACGTCACACCAAACACCAGGCCCGCGCATGACCTGAAATCTAACTTTGATGTTGGTAGTATTGCTCGGTATCCAAATCAAACTTCCACTACCTTCAGCAACCTTAGATATCTTTTCGCCGTTCTCTTCATAATCAACAATCATCTTTGAAAACCAAACGCCATCAGAAATATACTGTAGTTTGTGTTTGCCGTTCGGTAATGATTGAGTTACATGGTTTGTTTTTTCTGATCCATTTGAGCTGCCATTTCCTTCACTACACTTCCGATTATCCAATTCGCTCACACCAATACCTCCAGTGGCTGCATTCCTGTCGTTGTTTTCACCACTCGAGTTCGTTTCATCTTCTTCAAATGACTTCTTGTTAGATTCCCCATTCATCTTCGTTGTCTCTCCTGAGCCATTGGATTTCTTTTCGACTCTTCTAGCGACTTCTTTCGCAGCCTCCTTTCCCGCATTTTGTATTAGAATCGCAATATCTGTACTTTCATCGTTTTCATCGAAATGTTTCTCCACATGGTCAGCAAACGTTTCCGTTGCTACTAACGCGAGTTCCTCAACGCCGTTACCAACGTCAGACGAAACAGTTTCCCACGCTGCCAGTGCTTCTTCGGCAGAAACCACGTCTTTTATCATGTTTTCTGTCAGCCCTCCTGGTGCACCAGCAACCCCTCCGAGCAGGGCATCCGTTAAGACGTGTAAAATAAATTGTTTCCAGGTCATTTTTGGTCCACCTGCAAAAATTGCGTCTAGTTTACTAGTTATGGTTTTAATGAAGCAGCGAAAAGTTGAGGTGATCATCTTCAGAGAAATTTTTTCTTCCAGAGAAGATTGAGCAACCTTAAATACAATCTTCGCAGCTCCACCCATAAACGCCGCCACTCCAGCTACTCCCGTTGTCAAGGCTGCTCCACCAACAGCACCAACCACTAAACTTAAAATGTATTTTTTTAGGGGGCAGCCGTTTTTTACTGATTCACGATTTATCGTCCTTAATCCACTTGAAATCCCTCCTCCCATAAGAACCCCTGATGCAGCCATTATTCCAAGTATAACTGGTGCGGCACTTCCTGCAGTTAGGAATGTTAACCCGACGCCACCTGCTGTAAGAATGACCGATAAAAACAACAATCCCATTCTCTTTCGATATTGTGACTTTTGCGCAGCGCTGTAACATTCGGGATTGAAAACAGCTCTCCATCGCGCCTTTGATAACCATCCCCTGTCATAATCTGCGACGTTATTGTACGCGGCTCGGGCTTCGGGATCTTTGAGAATCTCGTACGCGAAGATGATTTCTCGACAAATAGCATGGTCACCATTCTCAGGATTCTTGTCAGGATGCCAACGCCGCAATTGAGAATGATAAGCTTTCTTTATGATATGCTGCTGTTCTTCAAATGGCTTTTTACGAACTTCTTTCATATTTAGAGCAAGGATTTCGTACAGATTCTTGTTTCCTGACGCTGAAACGTCCTCTTTCATGTTTTGACGCCGAATGCAAATTTGTTTTTCCATAAATGGCAACTCTTCTTCTTCTACTTTCAATTCATCACAACCACTGACTCGAAGGATTATATCTTTCTCCCACTCTTTCATCGGGAAAAAAGTCTCCAATTTTCTTCCATCAAGGCGAGCCCCGAGCTCAAAGCGAAATGCCTTTCCCTTTTGAAATAAGAAGCTATCACCTCGTTCTATAATTATACTCAGCGAAAAAATATGACTTTTAGTCCAGCTTGCGAGGATGAACAAGGTGACCGCATAAGTGGATTTGTTTTCAACAACAATTGATTTCAATTGTTCACCCTATGGAAAGATGAGAATTTGTAACCTATATCGTAAAGGACAATCGTAAAAAATATTAATGAGCAATTATGCAAAGAAAATGCAAAGTCGTCTGGATGTACAAAGGGTATTTATTATACTATGATGGCGAATTGTGCCAAATTTTGATTAATTTATGTTTGACCTAGCACAGTTAAGGCAAAATCAACACAGTATTTGCATAACTCCAGAAAAATATCGAAAACTCACTGTGCCTGAAAAAGTCAACTATTTCGAAAAGAGCTATTATTGTTGCCCAAAAAGGTGATTTGTTAAAAAAGCCAAATTGTCACTTTTAACTTTATCACTTGCCTCTGTCCTGTCGTTCTTTTCAACATTATTACCATCCGATATTGATTGTCTCACTCGGTTTGTTTTTTCCGACCCGTTCAAGCCGTCATTTTCCTCAGTGCACGTAGTTTTATCGTCAATATCAGATATTTCGTCATCACATTCTCCAGCGATCTTTATTACAGCCAGATGGCCAAGCGCGTTTCCAACCAAAGTGTACGTGCGACTCACCGGTTGATCGTACTCGAAAATATGAGGCTGAGTTGGTTCTATCCAAACTTCTTTGAAACGGTCGTACTTATTTACATCAAACCAAATACCTGGAGGAAAGCCCGTGGCCTGAAAACGAACTTTCACGTTGGTGGCACTGTTTGGTATTTCAATCGATTGTTTACTATCTTCAACCTCATAATGTTTTTCTACACCGTTCTCTTCATAATCAACGAGCATCCTGACCAACCAAAGTCCTTCACAAATAAAATGTAATATGTGTCTCCCGGGTTCCGTGGATTCATCATTTATTTCATCTATCAAGTCCTTGTATTCAGGAATTTTATCATACTTTTCATCGAGTTCATCACTTGTGACATTTACTACTTTTTCATAATACAAGCTTCCAGCCAAAGTGTACGTGCGACTCACTGGTTTCTTGTACTTGAAGATATGAGGCTGGGCTGGTTTCACCCAACGGTCATTAAAAAAATCATACTTTTTTACGTCACACCAAACACCAGGCCCGCGCATGACCTGAAATCCAACTTTAATGTTGGTAGTATTGCTCGGTATCCAAATCAAACTTCCACCACCTTCAGCCTCCTTAGATATCTTTTCACCATTCTCTTCATAATCAACAATCATCTTTGACAACCAAACGCCATCAGAAATATACTGTAGTTTGTGTTTGCCGTCCGGTAATGATTGAGTTACTTGGTTTGTTTTTTCTGATCCATTTGAGCTGCCATTTCCTTCACTACACTTCCGATTATCCAATTCGCTCACACCAATACCTCCAGTGGCTGCATTTCTGTCGTTGTTTTCACCACTCGAGTTCGTTTCATCTTCTTCAAATGACTTCTTGTTAGATTCCCCATTCATCTCCGTTGTCTTTCCTGAGCCATTGGATATCTTTTCGACTCTTCTAGCGACTTCTTTCGCAGCCTCCTTTTCCGCATTTTGTATTAGAATCGCAATATCTGTACTTTCACCGTTGTCATCGAAATGTTTCTTCACATAGTCAGCAAACGTTTTCGTTGCTACTAATGTGAGTTTCTCAACGCCGTTACCAACGTCAGACGAAAAAGTTTCAAATGCTGCCAGTGCTTCTTCGGCAGAAACCACGTCTTGTATCATGTTTTCTGTCAGCCCTCCTGGTGCACCAGCAACCCCTCCGAGCAGGGCATCCGTTAAGACGTGTAAAATAAATTGTTTCCAGGTCATTTTTGGTCCACCTGCAAGAATTGCGTCTAGTTTACAAGTTATGGTTTTAATGAAGCAGCGAAATGTTGAAGTGACTATCCTGAGAGAAATTTGCTCTTCCAGAGAAGATTGAGCAACCTTAAATACAATCTTCGCAGCTCCACCCATAAACGCCGCCACTCCAGCTACTCCCGTTGTCAAGGCTGCTCCACTAACAGCACCAACGATAAAACTTAAAATGTACTTTGTTAGCGGGCAGCCGTTTTTTACTGATTCACGATTTATTGTCCTTAATCCACTTGAAATCCCTCCTCCCATAAGAGCCCCTGATGCAGCTATTATTCCAAGTACAATTAGCGTGGAACTTCCTGCAGTTAGGAATGTTAACCCGACGCCACCTGCTGTGAGAATGACCGATAAAAACAACAATCCCATTCTCTTTCGATATTGTGACTTTTGCGCATCGCTGTAACATTCGGGATTGAAAACAGCTCTCCATCGCGCCTTTGATAACCATCCCCTGTCATAATCTGCGACGTTATTGTACGCGGCTCGGGCTTCGGGATCTTTGAGAATCTCGTACGCGAAGATGATTTCTCGACATATAGCATTGTCACCATTCTCAGGATTCTTGTCAGGATGCCAACGCCGCAATTGAGAACGATAAGCTTTCTTTATGATATGCTGCTGTTCTTCAAATGGCTTTTTACGAACTTCTTTCATATTTAGAGCAAGGATTTCGTACAGATTCTTGTTTCCTGACGCTGAAACGTCCTCTTTCATATTTTGACGCCGAATGCAAATTTGTTTTTCCATAGACAGCAACTCTTTTTCTTCTACTTCCAATTTATCACGACCACTGACTCGAAGGATTACATCTTTCTCCCACTCTTTCATCGGGGAAAAAGTCTCCAATTTTCTTCCATCAAGGCGAGCCCCGAGCTCAAAGCGAAATTTTTTTTCCTTTTGAAATAAGAAGCTATCACCTCGTTCTATAATTTTACTCAGCGAAAAAATATGACTTTTAGTCCAGCTTGCGAGGATGAACAAGGTGACCGCATAAGTGGATTTGTTTTCAACAACAATTGATTTCAATTGTTCACCCTATGGAAAGATGAGAATTTGTAACCTATATCGTAAAGGACAATCGTAAAAAATATTAATGAGCAATCTCGATATGTTAAAGATATTTATTTATGTACTTTGATGGCGAATTTACCAAATGTAAATTAATTTTTCTTATGCCTTTATCACCAAATGACTTTGTCAGGAAAATTTATCTTATAATTAGAAGAAGTGCTGCTTTAGCTGCTTTGTTTAGAAAGATCTCACATCCGCCCATATAATTTTTTTCTCCTGAAGGCCAATTGTTCGCTAATTAATTAATTGCTTTTATTATATGGCAAGCGTCACTTCCGGTGAAATGGAGCTCAGTGAGACCTCGGTCCGATATTTCTCGGTTTAATAAAAAGTTAATCTTTTTATATTATTTTAACATAACCAAGGAGCAGCGTGGCAGCGTCTTCAAACAACTTAGCATCAAATGTGGTATAACAACTGCCTAAATAGACAAAACACTTCTCGACGTTTCGACCTGAGGGCCTTCGTGTATTCTATCTATTTATTTTCATACTAACTCTCCTGACGAAGGCCCTCAGGTCGAAACGTCGTGAAGTGTTTTGTCTATTTTAAGCAGTTGTTATACCACATTTGATGCTAAGTTATTATTTTAACATGTTGATTTTATCACTTGCCTGTGTCGTGCCGTTCTTTTTACTGTTATCGACATCCTTTGCAACTTTAAAACCAACTGCTGTTGCAGCTTCCATTGCACCATCCCTTATAAGATCTATTAATGATTTTTTTTCCATGTAGTCAGCATAACTTTTCTCGACAAAGTCTGCAAATGTTTTCACTGCTATTTCCGTTGTCGCCTCGATACCAGCGCCAGAAGGGACTGTTTTTAGTGCTGTCAGTGCTTCTTCTACAGTAACTACGTTTCGATTGATGCTTTTTTTAGGTCTTCCAGGTAATCTGACAATTCCTCTTAGCCATGCATCAAGTAAAACATGCAAAATAAATCGTTTCCAATTATTTTTCTGTTTTTTAGCAAGGATTGCGTCTAGATTACTATTAAGGGATGCGATAAAGCCCGGAAAACTTGTTACGGTGATTCTTGTAATAATTTGCCGTTCCAGAGAAAGTTTAGCAATTGTCAATGTAAGATCATCTGCTTCATCCGCCATACCAACTACTCTTGCTTCTACGTCTGCGCAAATTAAACCTGGAAAGTTGTAATGGAAAGAGCAGTCTTTTTCTGTCGATGTACGGTTGAAGACTTTCAATGCGGCCATCGCCCCGAGAATAGCGGGTGCAGCCATTCCTGCTGTTATAATTGTTAAAACAACGGCAACCATTATGAGAAGAGCCGAAAAAAACAATAATATTTTTTCAATCCAATCTCTTGAACACTGATTCTCATTGCTGTCAAATTCGGATCCCATTTCATCAGCTACTTCATTACCATTTTTGGACTGATCAGCCATGCCTGTTGTTTCTCCGTTGTCATGGAATTTCGCCCGGAGTATTGCAAAAACTATTTCCCAAGGCTTACGAACAGCCGGCTATTGCAGCTCGCTTGAAAATATTCTATACGGGGAGAGATTTTGTAATTATCCTATGGAATTGGATATTTGCATGAGGTGAAAGTTGCAATGTTCCATGATTCCATCACTCATCGAGGCGACGTCGAGTGAAAATATTTATACTACATTGCACCAATGAAAATATACTGTACATAATTTGTTTTACCTATTGCTTCTAAATGAAGATAAAAACAAATGTACTGATCATTACTCGTGAATAGTGAAAGCATCATTGCAATGGAAAAAAAACAATTTCCCCGCGGTTAAACCGCCAAAGGATATCTTTTCCCGGTCAGTAAAATGTGAATTTTTATTTAATTTAATAACATATGATAGATTTAATTCATGAAGTATTATATAACCAATTGCAATTTTTGCGTCATTAAAACCGAGAAGTTGTAAAATGATCTGAATAGAAGTTTTGACAAAAATGAAACGTATTTATTCCCCCTTTTTAATTTCCCCCCTCTCCAATATCAATGCTCTATTACTGTGCTGCATATACCGTAGATTGCATGCACAAAGTTTTTTAATATTTTTCAATCATAAATATCTGATCCTCACGATGTGTCGGTAGTGAAATGAACATGTTTCTTTTTTCGCTGTATAATTAATTCTTATACCTCGCCCTTGGTCATTATATCGAATAAATAAGAGCTACTACCAAAAACCTCACAAAT